GGCTAAATAGAAATCCTAATATTTTACAGAAAACAGAAATGAATCTTTTATAACTTGTGACAAGATGGCTCTTGATCTTAAAAGGGAGTTAGGCTGGGTTTATCACTTAACTTGTTTGATTTCACAGGATGACAGCTGCAGAGGGAATCTGCCTCAGGATGAATTATATCTTAAGATTCACTCAAATCTGAATTAAATGACATTTAGATGAGACTTTAGACTATAAAGTTGATGTTGAATCAAGTTAAGACTTTTTAGATTATTGGGATGGAATGAATGTATTTTGAAGTGAAAACATCCAAAATTCATGTTGAAACTTAATCCTTAATGCAATAGTATTTAGGGGGTCAACCTTTGGGAGGCAACAGCATTGTATTGGACACAATACCTTTATTTCATTTATTTATTTTTATGTGGTGCTGAGGATCGAACCCAGTGTCTCACGCATGCCAGACGAGTGCACTACCACTTGAGCCACATCCCCAGCCCCAAGAAGGCACCATCTTTGAAGCAGAAAAAGCCCTCATCAGACAAAATATTTTGCTACAGCAGCTGAAATGGACTGAAATAGTATTAGTCTTACTTTTTGTACTGGGAATTGAACCCAGGGGTGTTTAACCACTGAGATACATCTCCATCCCTTTTTATGTTTTTTATTTTGAAACAGGGTCTCACAGAGTTGCTTAGGGTCTCACTAAATTATTGAGGCTGGCTTCAAACTTGCAATCCTCCTGCCTCAGCCTCCCGAGCTGCTGGGATTACAGGCATGCACCACCATGCCCAGTGGCTTTTGCTTTTTTAAAATCTGAAACCAACTATGATAAATTTATAAATGAGTACACTTGGGTTAGGGTTGTGGCTCAGTGGCGGAGCACTCACCTAAGCACGTGCGAGGCTCTGGGTTCAATTCTCAGCACCACATAAAAATAAATAAATGAAGATATTATGTCCAACTACAACTAAAAAATAAATATTTTTAAAAAATGAGCACACTTGCCTGCTATAACATATACTTAAATTGTGATCCACACAATGAAGACTTTGAGATCATTTCTTGAATTCCTTTTATCCCAGCTGTCTTATTCAATGCTGCTTAAATGTTTGTAAACATTTGAAGTTTAACACTTAATATTTCTATAAATTTAGAGCCCTAAATTTCAAAGGTGGCCTTAAGGAAAATTTTCACACTGGGGATGGCTGAGTTGACTATCAATTCTTGGTTTAGATGTTCTGTGGTGAGATCATTACAGTTTTCCCAAACAAGTAAAACCTGTAGAGTTAACTATTAAAATGAACCTTTTTTAGTTTTCTTGGAGAATGTGTGGCTCCACTGTTAACAATGGTTATTCTTGGGACTTAGGAATGGTGTGGGGAAGGGCTTTAAAAAGTGTTTTTATCCTTTTTCTCTGCATACTTCTACAGTGTTTGAATTTGAAAATGTATATTCTTTCTGAAATTTCAGCATAGAATTTGGTTAGTTGTAAATAGGAATTGCTATACAGAAAATGAAAGAAATCAATCTGAATCATCTGATCTTTTTTGGCTTACACCCAGAGGCCTTAACCACTGAGTCACATTCCCAGCACTTTTTTTTATTTTTTATTTTGAAACAGGGTCTCACTGAGTTGTTTAGGGCCTGGCTAAATTGCTGATGCTGGCTTTGAACTCACAATGCTCCTGCCTCAGCCTCCCAAGCCACTGGGATGATAGGTGAGCACCCGCCTGAATCACGTAATCTTAACTGAAAAATTTTAAAGAGATTGACATCATCTAATTACCAGGAGGCAACTTGTCATGACATAACTAATTGGCAGTAGAGATTACAGATAATCTGTCTGCAAAAGCCTTCCTTCCCCTGGGCAGTGGCCCTGCAACTAACCTTGCTGATTGAGTAGGATTTCCTCACAGCACAGGGAGAAACTGAAAGTTCTTCCCATTTGCCCAATAACATATACAGTTCCTGTATTCTGTTGTGTTTTTAATATTTTTGTGCTTTTTTAAGAATGTAAAACTATACATCCTCATTTAAGAAACAATTCAGATGATGTAAAAATGTATAAACCCTGGTGGTAGTGAACACCTATGATTCCAGCTACATAGGAAGTTCAGGCAAGAGGGATTACAAATTCAAGCCCAGCCTGGACAATTTAGTGAGAACCTGTCTAAAAATAAAAATTTAAAAAGGACTGGAGCTGTAGTCAGTGTTGGAGCCCCAGCCTGGCATGCATAAGGCCCTATGTTCAATTCATACGCACACACAGAGAAATGCATAAATCTCATTCTGTAGAAACAACCACTATTTAGAGTTTGGTTGTATATCATTTTAGATTTTTAAAATACATACACATACAGCTTCATTATTATTATTATTTATTAAAATATAATTCACATATAAAAATCTTCATTTCCACTCAGGCACAGGAATGTATATCTGTAATCCCAGTGACTCAGAGGTTGAGGTGGGAACTTCATAAGCTCCAGACCAGAATGGGCAATTTAGTAAGATTCTGTCTCAAAATTAAAAAATAAGAAGTGTTGGGTGTGTAGCATGGAGGCAGAGCAGTTGCTTAGTATGCGTGAGGCCCTGAGTTCCATCCCCAGTACAGAAAAAGAAAAAAAAAATTTCAAATTGCACAATTTAGTGGTTTGTTTTGTTTTGTGGGGCTACGGTTAGAACCCAGGGCCACCTCTATGCTAAGCCAGTTTCTACCACTGAGCCACATCCTTGGCCCTATTCAGTAGTTTTTAATATGTTCATGAAGTTGTACAATCATTCCCACTATCTAATTCCAGAGTATTTTATCACCTCAAAAAGAAATCCTATATCCATTAACAGTCAACCCTCTATTCCCTATTGTCCCCCATCCCTGGCTACCACTAATCTACTTTCTGTCTCTATGGATTTACCTATTCTGGATCTTTCTCTTAGATGAAATTATATACTATGGGACCTTTTGTGCTTGGCTTCTTTTACTTAGCCTGTTTTTATGATTTATCCATACTGTAGCATGTGCAGTATTTCATTCAATTTTATGGGTAAATAATGTTACATTATATGGATATATTATATTTTGTTTATTCATTCATTAATTGTGGCACATGAGGATTATTTCCAGATTTTGACTGCTATGGATAAGGCTGCTATGAATAATTTGTGTATAAGTTTTTGTATAAACATGTGCCGTTTGGGGGGCTGAGGTTGTAGCTCAGTGGTAGAACACTCGCCTAGCGTGTGCGAGGTGCTGGGTTTGATCCTCAGCACCACGTAAAAAAACAAAAATAAAAACAAAAAAAATAAAGGTATTGTGTCTAACTACAATTAAAAAATATTTTTTTAAAAAAGTGTGCCCTTTTTTGTGTGTGTGGTACTGGGGATTGAACCCAGGAATGCTTTACTCCCGAGCTCGATCCCCATCTCTTTAATTTTTTTTTTTTTTAAATTTGAGACAAGGTCTAAATTGCTTAGGGCCTCACTAAATTGCTGAGGCTAGATTTGTAATCCCTCTCAATGGGATTACAAGTGTGAGTCACCATACCCAGCTAAGTTTTCAATTTTGGGGATACATACCTAGGAGAAGAATTTCTGTGTTATGTGGTAACTCTATTTTTGTTCATTTTATGTTGCTGAGGATTGAACCCAGGAGCACTCTATCACTGAGCTACATACAGCCACAGCCCTTTCTATTTTATTTTATATTTTAGTGGTACTAGGAATTGAACCCAGGGGCTATCACTGAGCTACAGCCCCAGACTTTTGTATTTTATTTTGAAATAGGTCTTGCTAAGCTGCTAAGGCTGGCCTCAAACTTGGCAATTCTCCTGCCTCAGCCTCCATAATAGCTGCACCAGGTTTATCTTTAACTGTTTTGAAGAACTGTCACATTGTTTTCCATAGCAGGTGTATCATTTTACATTCCCACTGGCAGTGTTTCAGGGTTCCAATTTTGGCCTCACCAACAGTTATCTTCCTCCTTCCTTTCTTTCCTTTTTTAAAAATTCTAGTCATCTTGGTTGGTGTGAAGTGGTATCTGATGTGGCTTTGATTTTCATTTCTTTTTTTTAAATACTTTTTTTTTGTAGTTGTAGATGGACAGAATGCCTTTATTTTATTTGTTTATTTTTATGTGGTACTGAGGATCGAACCCAGGGCCTCGCATGTGCTAGGTGAGTGCTCTATCACTGAGCTACAACCCCAGTCCTTGATTTGCATTTCTTTAATGACTAATAATGCTGAGTATATTTTCGTGTGCTTCTTGACCTTTTATATATCATCTTTAAAGAAATACCCATTCAAAACCTTTGCTCATTTAAAAAATAGGTTACTTGGACAATAAATAATAAGGGCTGGGGGTGTAGCTCAGTGATAGCGTGATTGCCTAACATGTAAGACCTTCAATTCAATCCCCAATGCCACAAAATGTCAATCAATCAATTAATTTAATTAAATAAAAATATATTATTTGTCTATTGTTAAGTTGTGAATTATATGTTCTGGATACATGTGCCTTATCAGATATGATACATGATATGTGATTTGAAAATATTTTCTCCCAATCTCCGGATTTTATTTTTTGCTTTTTAGGACCAAAAGTAATTACTAAATACTCCATTCTGCAACTTGTGCTATCATGAACTTGTGTATCATGAACATCTTCCAATGTCGAGAAAAAACGACCTCAAATTTCTCTCTTCATTTATCTTTTCCGACCCATTCTTTTTCATGGCTACATTGCATTCCATTACAAACGGTTGTACCACAGTTTGTTTGACCAGTCCTCTGCTGAGCTTTTTGAAGAGTCTTCAGTTGGTGGCTCGTGAGAGACTATGATGCAGCTGTTCAACCAACCACTCTGCTGTCTGCTTTTGGATGATGTGAAAATGCAAGTAGGCACAGGAAATGTCTCTAACCCGCTTACACTTCCTCTCTGAACCTATGAGGTTTCACAACCCCTAAGGCACCCCCTCTCACCCTCCTCCCACCCAGTGTCACCAGCCTGGCGCCTCAGTGAGAAAGTTCCACTGCAAGAGGCCCCTTAGGCATTATCATTTCCCTCTTTCACCCTGTGGAGGTTGTCAGCAAATCCCAAGAGCCTTCCGCGACTGAGCCTGGACCCGGGGGGTCCCTCCAACATGGGAAAAATGAAGAATTCCTGCGTCATCGTAATGAGGCTGCTGCTGTCTGGACCCTTTTTCTTTGGTAGGAAAGTAGGGAGGGGTGGGGGAAGGGACATGTGTCTGTGACCAGGGAAACTGCAGGAGTTTGTGGAAGGGGGTAAAGAGGAGTTGCTCTCAGGGTGGGATTGGCCATAGGTAATGGGGGACCCAGGAATCCGAGAGGGTGAGAGGGGAAAAGAAAGAGAAATAAGGCCAAAGCCCAAAGTATGAGCAAAATATGGAGACAAAGACAGAGAGAGGTGACAAAGGCAGTCCAGTGAGAGAGGAGGAGAGTGCAGCCTTAGAAAGGGCATGTGGGGTTAAAGGAGACTGCGGAATTCAGTTGCTGTGCCTGGTCTTAGGCAAATCCTTTTCCTTTGTGGGTCTCTATCCCTTCATCTAAACAAACAAAGGTACTAGCCTCCCTGACATCCCAGGATGCTGTGAACTAGTTCTGATGCCCGTAAGGAAAACAGGGTGGGAAAGAACCATTTGGTTTGCAGGTGATGCCAAGTTGCCTGATATGGGAGATGGGCTGGGGGGGAACCTGAGACAGCATTTCAGGAAGAGACCCATCTCTGGTGGGGTTGGGGAGCTTGAGATGAGTGAGGAGGCAGCCTCCCAGGATTCAGCAGATGTTGAGTTCCCGAGGCTGGTCTTTCTTGGGTACCTGGGGCCCCTGATCATGGGAGAAGTGGGTGTGTGAGGAGGCACAGCCTGCTTTGGGAAATCCCCATCTTGGTTCCTGCCTAGAAGCCTAGGCACCCCTGTACCTTGGGGCCCCCTTTGACCTGCTCCTCTCTCACAGGCCTCAACCTCTTCATTCTTCCTTCTTTGCTGATAGGCCAAAAGGGAAGTGGTGTCCTTCTCACGCCTTGGGAAGAGTTGCCAGAACTCTGGGTGGCAGAGTGTGCTGCTTTCCTGTTCCCCAGAGTCAAGGACTTTGAGGGAAAGTCCAAGAACATTTTCTAGTTCTGTCTGGATATAGGTAGCCTGGGGAAGGTGGGCCGAGTTTTGGGGACCAGAAGTGTGATCGGTGGCCAGTCAGTTCCTAGGCTCTTGATGTGTGGGGGACATTGTGGGAGCCCCGGTCAGAAGCAACTGAGCACCCTTGCCTCCCTTAGCTCCAGCCTCCAGCTACAACTTGGATGTGCACAATGTGCAGCACTTTTCCACCCCACACGCCGGGAGGCACTTTGGGTACCGCGTCCTGCAGGTTGGAAATGGGTGAGCTGATATCCCCCCCACCCCCGCCAAATCCTCCCTGCCTGGCACAGTACACAAGACCCGGTGCTTCTATGCCCACCAAGAGACTGCCCCTGCCTCTGGGGGATGCTTCACCTACCTCCTGCCGGCCAGTCAATGAAACAAGGCAGGTCTCCTTTCTGAAGGCGTTCTCTGGAGACAGGAGCAAGGCTATCAAATAGTAGGAAGGGGACAGTCATTAACGCTCCACCTAAGTACCTAACAGGGGAGACATTACAGTCCTTAAAACACTTTGCATCCCATCCTGGGCTTTTGACTCTCTCTGACTACACAGTGAGCTCCTTGAAGACAGAGATTTTGTCCCTCCCCCTCTTTCTAGTACATTCTCCAGCCTAGCACACAGTAGGTAAGCCATTAATGACTTTTGAATGGACGGCTGAATGAGTGACACTCTGGGAGATCATTCTCTGGGCCTCAAGTTTTCTAGACTGTAAATGGAAAGGATCTTTGATCTTCTAGCATTCAGGCATGAGGAATTATTTCTCTGGGATTCAGGAGAGAAGAGGTGGGCGCTGAGGAGTATCCCCAGAGGGGTGTGGTCACATGGCTTTGAGATAGGTAGTGGGATCTGATCCTGCTTAATAGGCAGGAGTGGGTGGGTAAAGACCTGGACAGCTCCATCTCACAAATGATATTTCTCACCAGGGTTATTGTGGGAGCTCCAGGTGAGGGGAACATCACAGGAAGCCTCTATCAGTGCCAACCGAGCAGTGGACACTGCGAGCCAGTCAGCCTGGGAGGTGAGTAGCTGGTAAGGGAGCAGGGAAGAATGGGATCTTAGGGAAATTGAGGCTGGCCCCAATACATCTGGATTGCCTGAGTTCCTTCAGACCAACCTTCTGGTGCTTACAGGTTCCAACTATACCTCCAAGTACTTGGGAATGACCTTGGTGACAGACCCCTCAGGTGGAAGCCTTTTGGTAAGAATTTTGTATATTGGTGATCTCAGAGAATATGTTAGAAGAGAGAGAGATTGAAAAGAGGGGGAAAGAAAATGGATGAAAGATTCCATAAAATATTAAAGGCATCAGAGATTCAGATTCTATGCGTATTTATCGAGAACCAGTTATAAATCAGTTATTTCCAAGAACCTACTTACTTCAGTTACTTTTACAAAGATGAAATATCTATGCCTATTGATATATAATATGACCTTTAGTGGTATGCCTACTTTTTTTTTAAGAGAGAGAGAGAGAGAGACAGAGAGACAGAGAGAATTTTAATATTTATTTTTTAATTCTCGGCGGACACAACATCTTTGTTTGTATGTGGTGCTGAGGATCGAACCCGGGCCACACGCATGCCAGGCGAGTGGGCTATCACTTGAGCCACATCCCCAGTCCTGTATGCCTACTTTTAATAGTTACATGTATTTTTTTTAAAGAGAGAGAGAGAGAGAATTTTTTAATATTTATTTTTTAGTTTTCGGTGGACACAACATCTTTATTTTATTTTTATGTGGTGCTGAGGATCGAACCCAGTGCTCCACACATGCCAGGCAAGTGCGCTACCGCTTGAGCCACATCCCCAGCCCAGTTACATATATTTCAATTACTTATTAGAAATATATAAACTGGGCTCGTCTGTAATCCCAGTGGCTCTAGAGGTTGAGGCAGGAGAATCACAAGTTCAAAGCCAGCCTCAGCAATTAAGTGAGGCCCTAAGCAACTCAGTGAGACCCTGTTTATAAATACAATACAAAAACCGGCTGGGGATGTGGCTCAGTGGTTGAGTGCCACTGGGTTTAATCCCTGGTACCAAAAAAAAAAAAAAAAATTTAGATAGGATTGGAAATTTTTAAATAAGTTTGTCTCAGTGGCTAAATGCTCTGGGTTCAATCCTTGGTACCAAATAAATAAATAAATATAGAGGAGGAAGCTAAAGTTTAAAAAAATTGTAAGTTTAAAAGAAAGCATTAAATAAATATGCCAAATGTTAGAAATTATAAAGTGTTACACAAATGCCTAAAGGTTAGGAAGCATTGCTTCATTTCTTTTAACCCTCAAGACTTTGGAATGAGATAAATATCAATATCAATATCAATATATATATATATATATATTTTTTTTTTTTAATGTGAGGAAAGAGAACCCAAAGAATTAAGAAATTTACCTGAGATCACATGGCTGCAAAGTAGTAGAGCTAAGATCAATCAAATTCTCAACTGATTTCAATTCTATTGTTCTTTCCGGTTTTTCCTATGCAGCATCCTTCTGACATGGCTGTGTGAGAGCTAGATAGACTGGTGACATACTGATCCCTTATTTAACTGTAGCTAGTTTACTGAGCTGCTATTATGTATCAGGCATTGTGCTAGGTTCTAAAGAGGAAAGGAATGTGAATAGAAAGTTGACCTTGATATCTGATACAAGCCCTGTCTGGAAATGTCAGTCTGGCAGGAAAGATAGTCATAAACAAAAGAGGCAGTTTATTGTATATTCTGGGAATAGTGAGTTTGTGATTTGGGCTTACACAGAATGTGTGATTGGGCATGGGAAGGAACGTGCCTGGAAATGTGCCCAACTGTACATAGCGTGAATGCCAAACTAAAGCGTTTAGACTTTATTTTATAGATGGTGACTATCCACTGGCATAGAGTATTAGTTATAGGAATGGAGAGATGGACATGAGAGAACTTGCAGAGGGAGAATTCCTTTGCTTTGGAGTAACTATTTGGATGTAGAGAGTGAGGGAGGTGTACAGGATTCTGTAGGCTCTTTTTCATTGTGATGATACCTAAAAGATACACAGCAAGAGGAAACCCCAACCCTTTTGCTTTTGTTTCCTTCAGGCCTGTGACCCTGGGTTGTCTCGTACATGTGACCAGAATTCCTATCTGAGTGGCCTATGTTACCTCTTTCCCCCAAGTCTAGGGGAACCTGTGCTACAAGGGCATCCTGGTTATCAGGGTAAATGAACTGGGGACCCATTGGGTATGGAAACCAGCATGGTGGCCCAAATGCTGGAGACACTTCAACAGACCCCTTTCCATCTGGCCTCTGCAGAATGTATAAAAGGTAATGTGGACCTGGTGTTCCTGTTTGATGGCTCAGGGAGTTTGCAGCAAGATGAATTTCAGAAAATTGTGGACTTCATGAAGGATGTGATGAGGAAACTCAGCAACTCTTCCTACCAGGTAAATATGCTGGTTAGAATTCTTGATTGTAGGCAGTGGATGCCTACCTGACCCAGCTAAGTCATTAAAGGAAAATTTGGTATAAGTTCTCTCTCTCTAGCCTATGGGCATGGCTATAACTAGACCTCTGGAAGGCACAAGAACCCAGGAGTAGAAAGCTTCTAGTAATCTGTCTAAATTTTTTCTTTTCCTTTTTAAGTTTTTAGTTGTCAATGAACCTTTATTTTTTATTTATTTATATGCAGTGCTGAGAATAGAACCTGGTGCCTCACACGTGCTAGGCTCTGCCACTGAACCACAACCCAGGCCCTAATTTTCATTCCTGTTTCTTTCTGTATTCTAGCTTCCCTCTTTTCTTTCTTGCTGTCTCCATAAACTAACTTTTTTTGGATCACATGAGCCAATGGGCTTGTGGAAAGCTCCCAAGTCACATGTTAAAGTTCCTCTCAACCAACTCCTCACTCTGAAAATTCTAAATTTTCAGAGAAGAGATTCTGACTGGCCTAGAGTCAGTTCGGTGGCCATATGTTTTTAGTCAGCTTTGGGGAAGAAAAGTTTATTTGGGGATCACAGTTTCAGAGGTCTCAGTCCACAGATGGCCAACTCCATTCCTCAGTATCTTAGATGAGACCTAACATCACGGCAGACCGGTGTTGTGGAGGAAAGCAGCTCAGGACCTGGTACCCAGGAAGCAGAGAAAGAGCTCTGATCAACAAGGACAAAATTTAAAGCTCAAAGGCACACCTGCCTATAGTCACCCCTCGGTTAATCCCTACCAGGGGTTGATTCACTGAATGGGTTAAGGCTCTCATAATCCAACGTTTCACCTCTAAACACTATTTCATTATCTCACACATAAGCTTTTGGGGACACTTCACATCTAAATCATTATACTATCCCTAATTAATACATCCACTTTAGCAAGGTTCACTCCACAGAAATATGGCTACCAGGAACCATCCTAGTGATGAGGTAGTCAGACCCAAGAACAAGAGTTCATCATACAACACTGCAAAAGAAAGCAGAGGTTCATTTTGTTTTATGTCTGCATTTATTTACATATTATTGCTTCATTTTAAAAGAATGATTTTAAGCAGAGGTGCAGAGTTGGGTTACCCAGGTCCTGCATTAGAAGTAGAGGTTAGAGGGGACAAGTGGGAAGGGATACATAACTACATATCATTTCTTCCTTCCTTTCCTAGTTTGCTGCCGTTCAGTTTTCCACAGATTACCATACAGAATTTAATTTCTTGGATTATGTGAGACTAAAGGACCCTGATGTTTTATTAGGCAATGTGAAACACATGCTCAAGTTGACCAACACCTTTGGTGCCATCAACTATGTCGCGTGAGTTCCCTTTTGAGGGGAGAACATGTCCATTCATCTGTTCTGTGAGAGCGAGCTTTCAAGGTGTGGGAACTCAATAGATAGGTACAACAAGGGGCAGTTTATTGTAGGGATTCAACTTTAGTCCAGTTTCTTACACACACACACACACACAAAAAAAAAAAACACCTTTATTTATTTATTTATTTATTTATGTATAATGCTGAGAATCGAACCCGGCACCTCATATGTGTTAGGCAAGCACTCTACCACTGAGCTACAACCCCAGCCCTAGTCCAGTCTAATCTTTGGTTATAAGTAACAGTAATCTACTCTGCACTTTATAAATCCAAAGAAAAATTCTTGAGAGGATACAGGAACAAGAAGTATTTCTCGATCTCATGAGGGACTAAAACCAGAACTTGGAAAATAATTATGAAGCCCAACAATCATGAAGAGTCACATCTTAGATGGGGATCAGCTTTGGAAATCAATATATGAACAAAAATCTCAAATAGTCAAAAAGAATCCTTGAAGAATTTCTTGAATTGTTCATAAAATTTGATATACTCAAGTCCCACATTAGAAACTACCATATCTGCTAGGGATATAGGTTAGCAGTAGAGCACTTGCCTAGGCTTTAATCCCCAATACAACCAAGGAGACACAAAAGAAAAAAGAGAGAGAGAGAGAGAAGAGCAAAGAAAAGAAATGATCATATCCTACCCAGACAAGATGGTGCACACCTGTAATCCCAGCTACTGGGGAGGGTGAGTCAAGAGGATATTAAGTTCAAGGCCAGCGTTGGCAATCTAGCAAGACCCTGTCTCAAAATAAAATTATTTGGTGTGTTGTTCAGTGGTGGAGTGCTTGCCTATCATGTGTAAGGCCCTGGGCTCAGTGCTCAGTACTAAAAAAAAAAAAAGAATCAAATTACCATATCCTGATTTCCTGGGTCCAAAGCAGAGATTCTCCACGCAGCTATGACAAGGAACTACTTTATAGTAGTGTGCCAAAGCAAATGGCACAAACATGAATGCTAGAGCCCCGCCTCTGCAGGAATTTGTCTTAGAAAGTTTGTCTCTAAATTCTTAGAGAAAGAGATCACCATACAATGAGTAGACCCTCTAAAAGGGTTAATTGTGGGAGCAAAAAGAAAGTCATGAAAATGTCTGTCATAAACACTTTTTTTTTTTGGTACTGGGGGTTGAACCCCGGATGTTTGACCACTGAGCTACATATCCAGCCCTTTTTTGTTTTTAGACAAGGTCTCACTAAGTTGCTTAGGGCCTCACTAATTTGCTGAGGTTGGCCTTGAATTTTCGATCCTCCTGCCTCAGCCTCCCAAGCTTCTGGGATTAGAGTTGTGCGCCACCACACCCTCCCTGTCATAAACAATTTTGTCTCATTTAAATCTCACCCCTTTGGGCCAGGCAGTGTTCTATCAGGAATCTGACAACTCTCTGGAAAGGGCCAGATAGTAAATATTTTTAACATTTTCGGCTACATATGGCTTCTGTTGAATATTCTTCTTTGCTTGATTTTATAATTCTTTAAAAATATACAAACCATACAAAACAAGGTGCAGGTTGAATTTGGACCACAGATTATTGTTTGCTGTGTTCTAAATACTGGGAAACTAGCAGTGAATGAAACAGAGAAAAATCCCTACTCTCCTAGAGCTACCCTTTTAGTAGGGGAGAGAAATGTCACAAACAGGATAAATAAGCAAATTAGATAATACAGTAAAAGACATAAGTTATTCAAAGAAAAATAAAGCAATATTCCATAGGCAGATCAAGGAGGGTTGCTTCTGAGCAGAGACTTGATGAAGGAGAGGAAGTGAGCCATGTGGGTACCAGGCGCAGAGAATATCAAAGGCTCTGAGATGTACACAAACTTTGTATTACTCAGTTTTCTGTCACTTTAACTGTGACAAATGCCTGAGATAATTAACCTATAGAAAGAAAAGTGTGCCTGTAGTTCTAGAAGCTCAGGAGGCTGAGACAGAAGGATCACAAATTCAAAGCCAACAGAGGGGACCAGGGTAGAAGAAGAGAGGCCCGGTATGAGCCTACTGAGAAATCCAGATAAGTGACATGTGGATGAAAGTTGAAAAACATTTTCCATCCAAGATAGAACCAGAGGTCTTGAAGCGCAGGCATCCTCAGGTCAAATGGTTCACAAAGAGCTGCTATTGCAGCAGGAGCTATGCGCAAGCTGACTTGTTCAGAAGGAGGCTGTGGATGTAGCAGAACTTTGAACTTTGCCAAATATACAATTCTTTCTTTTCCTTTTTGAAAATGTGCTTTGAAGGGATGGGGTTGTGGCTCAGCGGTAGAGCACTTGCCTAGCAAGTGCAAGGCCCTGGGTTCGATCCTCAGCACCACATAAAGATAAATAAAATATTGTGTCCAACTACAACTCAAATAAATATTTAATGGGCTGTGGATTGAACCCAGAGACGTATTATTACTGAGCTACATCCCCAGCCCTTTTTACTTTTCATTTTGAGACAGAGTCTTGCTAAATTGCTTAGGTTCCTGTTAAGTTGCTGAGGCTGACTTTGAACTTGCTATCCTCCTGCCTCAGCCTCCTGAGCCGCTGGGATTACAGGCATGTGCCATCGCGCAGGGCTCCTTTCTTTGTTTCTTTGATCTCACACACATTGAGCCTCTATGCTGTACTGGGAGCCATAAATAGGGCAGTGGATGAATGTGGTCCTTTCCATGAATATTGATGGTGCAGGGAAAAACTGACACAGAAACAGGTCACTAAATTCACTAGGTTATCTGCTATGGTAGAACTTTCTAGATAGCCTGGGGGAGGTAGGGAAAGAAGGCAGAGGAGCTGCTTGCTATGTGAGCTTGCTCATGAGAGTGACTTCCCAATTTTCTTTGTGCAGCTCTTTTGTCACATGGGATATCACCTAGATCAATGTCTTTAGCTGATGAAAGGGTGGTTGCTACATGGTTGAAATGGAGGGTAGGAAGCCCTGAGTCACCCTGCACAAAACTTCCCCTGTGGACTCTGGAACACCCACCAGGCTGCCCAGAATAGAGCAGTGTAAAGATCACTAGTCTAGAGAGAATGGGTGGCAGGAAAGACGAGGTCAAGGTTTAGAGGAGAATGTTGAATGCTTGGGTACCTTCCTGGGAGATTCAAGAAGGGCTTTTGCATAACTGATGAGCAGAACAGTGGGGAGACCTCAAGCTCTGGTTTGTGGGAAATCTCTAACATCCCCCTCTCCTGGACACAGGACACAGGTGTTCCAGAAAGAGCAGGGGGCCCGTCCAGATGCCACCAAAGTGCTCATCATCATCACCGATGGGGAGGCTACTGACTTTGCCAACATTGACAAGGCCAAAGACATCATCCGCTATGTCATTGGGGTATGGGTCCTGGGCTCTATCTGCTTCTTACCTCTCCCCTTTCCTTTTCTACTCCTGACACCTGATTCCTTTTCTCCCTGGGGCCAAAGTCTTGGTCTGAGGTTTGGGGGTGCCAGCTTTTCACTCTACATTCCCTTGCAGATTGGAAAGCACTTCCAGACCAAGAGAACTCAGGAGACCCTCCATAAATTTGCCTCAAACCCCACAAAGGAGTTTGTAAAGATTCTGAACACATTTGAGAAGCTCAAAGATCTATTTACTGAGCTGCAAAAGAAGATCTATGACATCGAGGGTGAGTGATAGTCCCTGGGAGAGAATTTGAGAGGATGTATTCAAGAACTCCCCAGGACATTAGATAAGAGACATTGAACAATAAAGAGCACTGGGGATCCTACATGGTGCTGGGAGCTCTCCTAAACAAACAAGCAATTAACAGCCACAGGAAGGAATTTAGGAGACCGCAACTTAGGAGCAGGCTCTGATAAGATAGTTCTCTCTGAAATTCCATCTTCCTCTGGGAGCTCAGCTTGATTTTAAAGTGGGGCCCAAATTTGACCTATATCTGGGGTCATCGGAGCCCTGAAGGATTTCCATCTAAATTCTTTCTCCTCTTGGTCAACTCTTTCATTTTCACCTAGCGTAGGCCCCACCTTACTTAAGATGGGCAAAGTGCGACATGGTGACACACACCTGTAATCCCAGAGGCTCAGGAAGCTGAGGCAGGAGGATCAAAAGTTGGAGGCCTGCCTTAGCAATTTAGCGAAGCCCTAAATAACTTAGCAAGATCCTATCTCAAAATGGGAAAAAAAAAAAAAAAAAGTGCTAAGGATGTGATTCAATAGTTAAGAATCTTGGAATTCAATCACTGGTACAAAAAAAAAAAAAAAAGGTTAAATTAGTAGAAATAAAGTGTGAGGAACCCACAGATGCTCTTCCTTGGCCTAGAATAAAAGAAAGTTCTTATTGCAGTAATTAGATGGAGGACTGGTCATAAAAGGGCTTTACTTCAGGAAGCCTACTCTGCCTCCAGATATGTGGTTTCAAAGGGGAAGTCCCCTAGGCCAGGCCACAGCCTTGGTGTCTGGCTCACTTGAAGATGCAACATGATGGCTAGAATGGAGCTGGGCAGACTTGATCCAGAATTCACTCTGCCTAAAGCTGGGTGCAGTGACTCACAGCTGTAATTCCAGCAGCTCAGGAGGCTAAGGCAGGAGGATTGCAAATTCAAAGTCAGCCTCAACAATGAGGAGGTGCTAAGCAACTCAGTGAGACCCTATGTCTAAACAAAATACAAAATAGGTCTGGGGATGTGGCTCAGTAGTTGAGTGTCCCTGAGTTAAATCCCCTGTACCAAAAAAAAAAAAAAAAAAAAAAAAAAAATTCACTCTACCTCTTACCTGCTGTGTGACCTCAGTCAGGATACTTCCGTCTCTGAGGCTTGTTATTCTTTGTTAAATGGGGGGATAATAATACCAGTCTTACAGTGCTGTAAGGTTTAGCTGCTTTAACGAAGTACTAAAAACCAGGTGGCTTAACACAACAGAAATTTATTGTCTGAATATTCTGGAAGCTTGAAGTCCAGAAGAGCAGGGAGATGTTCTTTCTGATGGTTCTAGAAAAAAGCCCTTCCTTAACAATTTCACTTCTGGTGTCTGCCTACAATCCTTGGCATTTCTCCATTTGTAGGTACATCATTCCAATCACATGGCCACCTTCTCTTGTGCCTCTTCATGTCAATTTTCATCTCTGCACATTTCCTTTTTAATGAGAACACCGGTCATATTGGATTAGGGTCACCCTAATGTCCTCATTTTAACTTGATGACCTCTATCAACACCATATTTCCAAATCAGCTCACATCCTGAGGTACTGGGGATTAGGATGTCAATATATCTTTTTGGAGAACATAATTCAACCCCTAACCTCAATTTAGTAATGTACCCAGTACATTGTGGGCTCTCTGTAGATTGTACCTCCTTTTTTTCCATTTATTATTATTATTATTATTATTATTATTATTATTATTATTATGTGCTGGGATTGAGCCCAGGGGTGCTTAACCACCGAGGCACATCCCCAACCTTTTTTATATTTTATTTTGAGACAGGATCTAACTAAGTTGCTTATGGCCTCACTAACTTGACGAAGCTGGTTTTGAGGTTGCAATCCTCCTGCCTCAGCCTCCTAAGTCTCTGGGATTACAGGCGTGCACCCCAGCTCCCAGCCCTATATTTTTTCTTGTGCCTAAGTCATAGCTCTTATCACTAGTTGTCATCGTCTATCTTAACCTGCTCCTGCTCATCCTTCTGCTCTTGTTTAGATTTCACTTCCTCCTATTAGATGTCACATGTGTGGGTTATGTGCTGTGTGCTACTGTAACTGCTGCAAGCTCCCTGCCATGGCCCCTGTAGTATATGCTGGCTTCTAAATTTGTGGATTTCTGTCTTCGACACTGCCCTCTGAGGTACCTGCCATGGCAAATGCTGTGTGTGCTTTCTCACCACTGATATCCCTGGTGCCAGATACTTAGTTTTGCTAATTACTTATTCAATAAATGAATGAATTATGGTAATATTTGCCATGTTTCTTGAAAATTTACATGAAACAGGCCCTTTGGCTACAATATTTAAATATTTATCTCAGCATCATTGTAAGGCTGATGTTATTATTTCCATTTTATTGATTCATGCTTGCAACAGCTATATACCAGACTCTGTGATTAAGACAGGGATTTTCTGAAAGTAGAACTCATATTCACATTGGATAAAGAAAAACAGTGATCAATTGAACAAATGAGATCATTAAAGGTTGTGATAACTGCTATATAAAGGATGAATAAAGCAATGGGATAAACTGGGTGTGGTGGCGCATGCCTGTAATTCCAGTGGTTTGGGAGGCTGAGGCAGGAGGATCACAAGTTCCAGGCCAGCCTCAGCAATTTAGCAAAGCCACAAGCAACTTAGTGAGACCCTGTTTCAAAATAAAAAAATAAATAAGGGCTTGGGGTGCAGCTCAGTGGTAAAGTGCCCCTGGGTTTAATTCCCAGTACTTCCAAAAAAAAAAAAAAAAAAAAAAAAGCAATGAGATAGACTTATATATAGGAAGCTGGGCTGGGGTAGAGCTCTATGGTAGAACACTTGCCACTTTGGATTGGCTTTTGGAGATGTTGTAGGGACAAATGAGGCAAGGCACCGAAGATAGCAGGAAACAGTTGTATTTGGCTGCAGCCAGGGTCAGAGGACACAGCTTTTGCTGTAATCAATCAATCCGCTGAATCCGAGTTCAGGGAATTTCAGAATTTTATACCCAGTGTGTAAGGGGAGGGGCTCAGAAGTTCACAGTCTGCAGAAGTTCACATAAAAGCAGCTTTTTCTTTCACTGTTCTGGGCAAGTTAACTCTTCAAGGACAACACCTGAGAAGGGGAGAGCCTCTTTTCCCCTTTCTTTCCTCCCCCTGCCAGCTGTTACCATGGAGCCCATTTGTAACTTATCTTAAAAATGTAGACATCTCTGTGAAGCCCAGCTCAAGGCCAGAGGCCTTGTTTGCACATTTCTACAAAGAACTATACTGGATATGTTTGTGAAAAACTAGTAAGGGGTGTCCAGCACCTGGAGTGTTGGTATCTTCTCAGCCAGTGGCCAAATAAAACAGGGTGACACGAAAATAGGAAGTTTATCTACATTGAACTCTTTTGCAGAGACTCTTTTGCTGACAGTCCTAAAGGCAGCCATGGTGAAGATTTCTGGAGAGACCCAGTTAAGACTTTTCAGTGAAGAAAGGGGGTGCCACTTCAGAGGAAGGCCTGTTAAAGATGACTTTATTTATTTATTGTTGGTACTGGGAATTAAACCACTGAGCTACATTCCCAGTCCTTTTTATTTTTTGTTTTGAGACAGGGTCTTGCTAAGTTGCTGGGGTTGGCCTCAAATTTGCAATTCTCCTGCCTCAGCCTCCCGAGTTGCTGGCATTACAGGCATAGTTGAGATGACTTTTTAAAATACACTCTAAAAATGACTTTCAAGCTGAGACATGAAGGATGAGAATCAAATGGCAATTGAGGAATGTAGGTGAAGAGCATCCTAGTTAGAAAGAGGAGCAATCACAAAGCCAGGAGATGCGAAAGGACTTGGCATGTTGGAGGAATAGAAAAAAGGTCGACTGTCTGGAGCTGACACATAGGAGCTGAGCACCCTTAGCCTTGAGCTATGGAGGTGTGAGACTGGTTTCCACTTTGGCAGAAGCAGGTGGATCTCACCTCCGCTTGGCAGGGGAATGAAGCTCTGGGAGTGGGCGTCACCCAATGAGATTGGGCTACACCACCCTGAAACCCAGTCCCTTGCCTCATTTGGATGGAACTTTCTCCTCAATAAAAAGAGTCTCAGGTGTGCTCTCTCTCTCTTACCACTCAGAAAGAGTTTGGATTTCAGTGTGACAAGCAATGGCACGATTCTATCATATATCAAGATAGGGTCTGATACACATTTTTGAAAAAAAATAGATTACTCTGGCTTGCTCTGTGGAAAGAAAACACAGAAAGAATAGAGTCAGAGACCAAATCAGTAAGATGTTACATAATTTTTTGGGGGGTGTACCAGGGATTGAACTCAGGGGCACTTGACCCCCGAGCCTCATCCCAGCCCTATTTTGTATTTTATTTAGAGGCAGGGTCTCACTGAGTTGCTTAGTGCCTCACTTTTGCTGAAGCTGGCTTTGAACTTGCAATCCTCCTGCCTCAGCCTCCTGAGCCATTGGGATTATAGGCATGCACCACTGCACCCGGCCACTGTTACATCATTTAGGCAAAAGATGAATATGGCTTGGACCCATGTGGTGTCAGTACAGACTTTTCAGAGGGGGAGGTGTTATCTTGAGGCAGAACCATCACGATTTGGTGATTCTTAGAGGTGATACAGGGGAAAAGGAAGAATCAAGGTTGGTTCCTGGTTTCTTAGCATTATTCCCTAGGGAGTTAGGGATGCTCATCATTGACTGGGGGAAGCCTGAGTAAGAGCAAAGTAAGACAAAGTAAGAGCTGACTTTATCCAGCGGCAATGGGTCTGTGATCCCAGCTACTCAGGAGCATGAGGCAGAAGGATTGAAAATTCAAGGCCAGCCTAAGCAACTTAGTAAGACCCTTTCTCAAAATAAAAAAATAAAAAGGGCTTGCGATATAGCTCAGTGGTAAAGTGCCCCTGGGTTCAATACCAATAAAACATATATATATATATATATATATTTTTTTTTTTTTTTTTTTTTTTTTTAAGCTGTACCAAGACATGCTCAGGTGGAGTCACTAGGCTCCTGGCATTGTACAGAGAGAGCTGACTCAGAGCATCAGGCAACTTCCCCAATCTGTCCCACTTTGATGTTCATGCTTTCTACTTTGCACTAAGGTGAATGCTGGGCTTCTTCTGAGTCCTCCCGAGTGTCACTGTTTTTACTGCTCTTTGGGTCTCAGCCTGATCTCCTCTACTTTGTCCTTCAGGCACAAACCAGCAGGACCTGACATCCTTCAACATGGAGCTGTCCTCCAGTGGGATCAGCGCAGACCTCAGCAAGGTGCTTGGTGGCCTGAAGCAATGAACAGAGGGATGCGGGGATGGAGCTGGATCAGGGAGGGTCCTGACAGGATTCCCCTCCTTCCCTGAGCAGGGCCATGCAGTTGTGGGGGCAGTTGGAGCCAAGGACTGGGCTGGAGGCTTTCTAGACCTGAAGGCTGACTTGCAGGATGACATATTTGTTGGAAATGAACCATTGACACCAGAAGTGAGAGCAGGATATTTGGGTAAGTATTTCTCTTTTTTAATGGGTTCTTCTGTTTGAGATGCTGAGAGTAACTCAGATTGGCTTTCCAAATAATAGTGAAAGCAATTAAGCAACCAGCTTGAGCAAACTCAGGGTTTAAGTATGATTATAACACTCTTAATTTCCCCCTTAATAACCTTTTACCTGTGTATTAATTATGTTTTTTTTTTTCTTGATTTTTTTTTGGTGCTTTGACTTCTTGGGGCCTGGATAATCCTAAAGAAACTGCCCCTCCCAGGGCTGGCTAATTCCTAGAGCTAGTGAACTCTTGCCTGTGAACATGACTTTCATATGCATACCAGCCATCCAGGGCCCAGAGCACCAATCACTTATTTTATCCAAATTCACACACCAAGCCAAAAGTTCCCCTGCCCTAAATTGCGTCAGTCAGGTACCAGACCACTAGAAAATACCTCTACAACCCCTGAGCTTACCAAAATTCTTCAGTCTGTCCAATCCTAAACCCTTCTTCCCCTTCCTTCCCACGAAAACCACAATCTTGGTCCTTCTGCCTCCTCACTGAGCTGATGCTTCTCCACTAGCTCTTTTGTGGTGAGCAGTACCTCCTGCTTCTGGGGAAACGAATAGGAAACTTCTTTCAATGTCAGTGATTCTCTGTCATCATTCAGTAGTAACTAAACATTAAATCCCAGGTCTATTTTAAAACAACCTGCCTGATTAATAGGAGGACTACTTGTTCTTTTTACAGGAATTCCTTTTCTTGATTTGTTGAAGAATTCTAGAGTTTTACTCAATTTCAAGATTTTTTTTTTTTTAATGCTAAACAGAGGAAATGAGTCTGCTCAATCCACAATTGCTGCTGCTTATCTCTGCCACGTGGTGTCGCTGTTGAAGTCTGGGCCTGCACAGTTCTGTATGTGCAAATCTACCTAAGTGATGCCATTTTCAGACTTAATCCCTGGGCTCTGAGGTTATAGTTTTTTGTTTAATTGTTTTGTTTTGTTTGCTTCATGTAGTCATTGTGCCCCAAGGTATGAACTGGCTCCAAGAGCCTGGGATAGGACTGCTTCCAAGTTTGATCTTCTCAGGGATTTAGAACCACATTCTTCCACACTCTCTCATCCATGCCCTCTGCTTAGAAATGGATCCATCCTTGTTAAAGTCTCAGAACACAAATGTCTTATTAAATTTTTCTCAGAAAATTAGTGCTATTTATCTTATATCAGGTTATCTGCAGTGATTATTTTTCTTTCATTTTTTTGGACGGTCTTTACTGAGCAAATATTATGTTCTAAAGGCTTTACCTGTGTTAACATACTTTATGTCATTTCATCTTCACAACAACACGATGAGAAGAACTTATTAAGTGAGTTTTTATTTTGGAATATTTTTTGTTTCTTATGGTGCTGGGGATTGAAAGCAGGGACACACACACACACACACACACACACACACACACACACACACACTGAGCTACCTCCCAAGGCCAAGAAAGTATTTTTATGATTTCTCGATGAAGAAATCGAGTCAACAACAGTTTAAATAACTTGCTTAGGGTCACATTACTAGTAGGGGAACTCAAGTAGATTGTTCTATAAACCATGACACTTACATTACTGCCTTCAAGGGGATTTCTTGTTTTTCAATATACTGTAAAATCCTTGGCAACTTTGCTCACTAAAGAAGAGGCAGTCAAATTGTGCACAGTGGTGTACTCCCATGATTCCAGGGACTTGGGAGACTGAGGCAGGAGGATTGCAAGTTCAAGACCAGCATCTGCAATTTAGCAAGATCCTGTCTCAAAAACAAAATTTAAAAATGGAGCTGGAGATGTAAACTCAGAGGTAGAGTGCCCCTGAGTTTGATCCCAAGTAACAAATTTTATTTTTTAAAGAAGAGAAAGAGGCAGGCACATCACTACTCTCTCTCTCTCTCTCTCTCTCTCACACACACACACACACACACACACACTCACATATATATATAGCATTGAATGTTTATTCTGCTGCTCACCTTTAGCTCTTAATTTAGTTATCATTAACAAAGTGCTGGCATTTTATATGCTTGGCCTGATTTCATGCTCAAAATTACTCTCTATGAAATTGGTACTTTTCCCATTTTTATTTATTTGTTTATTTTTCATTTCAGGAGAAGGTCTTCTGGCTGCTTTGATGCATCTTTGCTTCGAGTTCAATTTCTGTGAACAGCTTCTGCCCTTTCCTTGGGGTTATTTCCTGACTCCAGCTTCCTTTGCATTTCCATGCTCTTCATTCTCTCTCCTCAGGTTACACTGTGACCTGGCTGCCCTCCCGGGGGCCCACATCACTGCTGGCTGCTGGAGCCCCTCGATATCAGCATGTGGGGCGAGTACTACTGTTTCAAGAATCAAAGGACAGAGGACACTGGAGCCAGGTGCAGAAAATAAATGGGACCCAGGTGAGCATGGGCCAAGAGGCATCTTCAGGATAGGGACATGAATGATGTTCTTTATGTCCTTTCAACTCTCATCCCCTTATTGTGTGGCAGACCCTATCATAAAACTCTCTGAGGTAAGCCCTGTGTCTCTACAGTTTAAGAAACTGAACTTTCCAGAACTCAGCTTGTAAGAAGATGGACATGGTGCATCTACAGGGGGAGGTAACCTGCCACCTCCTGCTGTTCCTATGGGCTCTTCCTTTAACATCTTCCTCTCCCTACAGATTGGCTCTTATTTTGGTGGGGAGCTATGTGGCATTGACATGAACCAAGATGGGGAGACAGAGTTGCTGCTGATTGGAGCCCCCCTGTTCTATGGGGAGCAGAGAGGTGGCCGGGTGTTTATCTACCAGAAAAAAAAGGTGAGAATCACGACCCTGAGCGAGGTGGAAGTGGAGAGGCAGAGATTCTCAGGCCTACTCGGGTCCTAATTATTCCAAAGGGCTTTTCCTGTTTGATCATGTATAAATCAAACCTTTAGAACAATAAACAACAGCTAACACTACTTGGGGGGTAGGCAGTGTGCAAGGCCCAGTGCCAGATGTTTTATATACATGACCTTGTTTCATCCTTTCATCACCTCCTGAGATCCTGCAAGCCTTATTTTATAAATAGGAGGCATTTCAGGGAAGCCAGGGAACACACAGGGAGATCACACAGACAACACAAGATCGGGCTGGCACTAAGGGCCAGATTAGTTTGATAGCATCATTCTGACTGTGAGGGACCACATCTCACATTTCTTTAGTGTTTTCCACTAAATTGTTCTTCACAATGCCGTGATGGAGTTGCAATTTGTTTCCTTGTTCCTTCCCAGCTGGAGTTTGAAATGGTCTCAGAACTTCAGGGAGATCCTGGTTACCCGCTTGGGCAGTTTGGAGCCACCATTGCTGCCTTGACCGACATTAATGGGGATGGGCTGATGGATGTGGCTGTGGGAGCCCCTCTGGAGGAGCAGGGGGCTGTTTACATCTTCAATGGGAGGAACAGTGGACTCAGCTCCCAGCCGAGTCAGGTGAGATACCGACTTGCCCATCAAACTCTGTTCCCAGGCACCTTGAAGCCTTGAGTCTCCAGCCTGCCTCTACAGATCCTGTTCCCATTTTAGCATGAATTTTTTTCTTGCTTACAGCGTATAGCAGGGTCCCAGATGTTCTCAGGAATTCGTTGGTTTGGACGCTCCATTCATGGGGTGAAGGACCTTGGAGGGGATGGCCTGGCAGATGTGGCTGTGGGGGCTGAGGGCCAGGTGATTGTGCTGCGGTAAGATGGATTCCTGAGTCCCTCTGGTAACTTCAGCTCTTATCCTTTGAGTAGTGAACTGTGCACTATGCTGAATGCCTGACAGCACTGGCCCATTTGGTCTTCACCCCAACCCTGGGAGATGGTTCTCCATTTTTTTCTCCCTGTACTGAGGAATTATCTGCAGTGATTATTTTTCTTTCATTTTTTTGGACGGTCTTTACTGAGCAGAATTGCAGCCAGGTGTAGGGGTACATGCTTATCTATAATCCCAGCAGCTAGAGAGGCTGAGGCAGGAGGATTGCAAGTTTAAAGCCAGCCTTAACAAATTTAGCAAGTCCCTAACCAACTTGGTGAAACCCCATCTCTAAAATAAAAAAGGCTGGGGATGTAGCTCAGTGATAAAGTACCTCTTGGGTTCAATCCGCAATACCACCAACCAAAAAAAAAAAAAAAAAAAGAAAGAAAGAAAAACCAAGGGTACTCTACCACTGAGTTACATCCCCATCCTTTTTTTTAAAAAAATATTTCTTTTAGTTCTCAATGGACCTTTATTTATTTATATGTGGTGCTGAGAATCGAACCCAGTGTCTTGCACATGCTAAGCAAGTGCTCTACCATTGAGCCACAACCCCAGCGCCCCCATCCCTTTTTATTTTGAGACAGGGTCTCACTGAATTTCCCAGGCTGGCCTAGAACTAGTGATCCTCCAGCCTCAGCCTCTAAAGTCCCCAGAATTACAGGCATGTGCCACTGTGATTGGCTGGGTTTTGTTTATAGAGGCTTCACGTCTTACTCCAAGTCAACAGCTGCCGTTCAGCAACAGAACCGATTTGAACTCAGTCCTATCTGACACTTCCTAGGGAAGACCTGTCTATCTAAAACTTCCTAGAGAAGCAACACATGTGATAGACAAAGGCATGGCTTCAGGACCTGGTGTCCTGGGTTTCTGGGACCTAACTTTTCTCACATTTGAAGTGGTGGTGACATTTTCTGCCTTATCCTCTCTTTGTGTTGATGGTAGCTATTTATTGATCACCTGCTATGTCTTGAACAATGAGCCCGACATTGGGTCCAGAGTTTCTGAGTAGTGATAGATATGATAAATTAAACAAGCCAGGTGTGGTATCTCATGCCTATAATCCCAGCGACTCAGGAGGGTGAGGCAGGAGGAACACAAGTTTGAGGTCACTCTGGGCAACTGAGAGACCTGCCTCAAAACCAAAAATAGAACATGCTGGGAGTGTAGTCCAGTGGTAAAGCAATCCCCAGTATTGCAAAAAAGTAGTAAACAAATAAATAGATAATTACAAATTGTGGTAAGTGTAGTGAAAGAAATGAACAAGACACTATGGGAGAAAATAGTGGAGGAGGCCTCTTGAAGATTGGATGGCCAAATAAGGCTCTCTGAGAAGGTGATATTTGAACCTGGAATTGAAAGATGAGAAAGAACTGGGCTTGCAAAAATCTAGGTTAAGAGCATTCTGTGTAGAAAGCCCAGGGTGTGTCAGGGCCCTAGGAGGCAAAAGTGGACTGATGTGGCTCGAATGTGGTCAGCCCAGAAACAGGGGACATAGGGTTAGAGATAAGAGTAGGGAGATAAGATTGGTGATACAGGAAGTATGGCTGGGATTGTAAAATATCTGAATTTTATTCTAAATATCACATGTCATCATTGGACAGTTATACGCATGGAAATAGCTCAATATGATTTTTCTTTTCATTTTGTTTTTATTTTTGTAGTGCTGGGGATCAAACCCAGGACTTTGTACATGGTAGGCAAGCACTTTACCACGGAGCTACATCCTTAGCTGCTGTGATTTCTCTTCTTATAACTCACACTTTTTTGTACTGGAGATTCAACTCAGGGGCACTTGGCCACTGAGCCACATCCCCAGTTCTTTTTATGTTTTATTTAGAGACCGTGTCTCGCTAAATTGCTTAAGGCCTCAATAATCTGCTGAGGCTGGCTTTGAACTTGTGATCCTCCTGCCTCAGCCTCCCGAGCTGCTGGGATTACAGGGGTGAGCCACTGAGCCTGACATAACTCACTTTTCTTTATAGAAAATGGGTTACAGGGCTACCAGAAGCAAACTAGGGAGGCCTAATTAATTGTCATGGTCATTGTTATCATTGAGAGGTGACAGTGACATAGAGTTCAGTTTAGGGAAGAAGAGTCCTTTGGGAGACTTGGTGGCTTTCTGTCTGTCAGCTCCCGGCCTGTGGTAGACGTTATCACTGTGATATCCTTCTCCCCGGCGGAGATCCCAGTGCACGAAGTGGAGTGCTCCTACTCAGCCAGTCACAAGAAGAAGGAAGGTGTCAACATCACAGTCTGCTTTCAGCTCAAGTCTCTCATTCCCAAGTTCCAGGGTCAGTGCTGTTCTCCTGCCCGCCCCGAATCCCAGCTATGGCCTCAGGATCCTCTATAGTCTAACTCCTGCCTCTTTTACCCTCTCAGGTCCCCTGGTTGCCAATCTCACCTACATTCTGCAGCTCGATGGCCACAGGACCAGGAGCCGGGGTTTGTTCCCAGGAGGGAAACCTGAACTCACTGGGAACACATTGGTTACCCCAGCCAAGTCCTGCATGGACTTCTGGTTTCACTTCCCGGTAAGGGAGCTAGTGCTGGTGTTCTGGAAAGGTGTGGATGAGCCTACTGTGGTGAGAGGGTGTGAGCTCAGCTCTGCTGTTGTCCAGCTGGGTGACAAGTCATGCTGATCCTCAGTACTACCATTTCCTATGCTGTACAATAGTGGGGATAACACCCTTAGGCATATTTGCTTCTGGTCCTGACTATATTCACATAGCATTTTTAATATGGTGATGATTGTAATGCACTTACCATTTTCCCCTACTTTTTTCTCACATCCTATATTCATGCTGCTACTCAGCTTTCACAGTTTTTTTTTTTTTTTTATTGTTGTTTGTACTAGGAGGGGTACTTTACCATTGAGCCCTATCCCCAGCCCTTTTTTGTATTTTATTTAGAGACAGGGTCTTGCTGAGTTGCTTAGGACCTTGCTAAGTTTCCCAGGCTGGCCTTGAACTTCACCTCTGTCTGCCTCAGCCTCTCAAGCTTCTGGGATTATAGGTGTGCACCACTGCACCCAGCTCTTTCATATTTTTAATAACTAGAGAACATTCAGTCATCAGGGTATGTCATTATTTGTCAGATACATGTAATAATTTATTAACGTCTATCCGAGAAAAAGATTCTTTGTGTTTTTGTCTCTGTTTATTTTGTTTTTAGGATTGAACCCAGGAGTGATCTACTACTAAGCTACATCTATGGTCCCTTTTTTTTTTTTTTTTTTTTTTGCCGACAACTTCTACTTTAGTATTTCAGGCTGTCCGTGAACTTATGATCCTCCTGCCTTGGCCTCCCCAGTAGCTGGGATTACAGGCACTGCATGGGGCTGCAGAAAGTTTTTTTTATATTAGTTTGAACAAGTACTGAAATACTCAAATGCAGTTTGCTTATAGCTATCCTGTGCAAAAATGGAATTGACATCAAATTATTATATCTCTTAAATGTTTCAGAAAGGGCTGAAGATAGGGTTAGGGTAAAGAGATTTTGAAGTTTGTTTTACATTTTTTATTATGGGGAGTGCCTAACCCGAAAGTAGAAGCAAATAGTTTAATGATTCCCCCGGTAGCTTTCCAACAGTGTCAACTCAGAGATGAACACTTGAACTTTAATTTGCCAGAGAAGATGGCATAAAGACCTTGGCTTTGGTTTTGGACAGATGTGGATTCATATCTTGGCTCTGTCACTCCATGTTCTAGACCTTTGAGCAATTGGATCACCTTTTTAAGGCTAATTTTCCTCATTTTGAATATAAAAATAATAATGCCTACCTCTCAAAATTAGTAAGAATTTTAGGAGAACTATGATTTACAACCTGTGAAGTGCCAGTAGTCAGGCACTGGTAATTACAAACGACTAAAATGCATCCTTGGAACTGGGGCTGCAGTTCAGTGTTAGAGCACTTGCCTAGCATGTGTGTGGCACTAAAATGCATCCTTAGAACTGGGGCTGCAGTTCAGTGGTAGAGCGCTTGCCTAGCATGTGTGGGGTTCAATTCTCAGCACCACATATAAATAAATAAAATAAAAATATTGTGTCCATCTACAACTAAAAAAATACACACAAAAAAAAAAACTTCTCAAGGGACTAATATTCTAGAATTAGGGTAGTCCTATTATTCTAGAATAGTCTCTCTCTCTCTCTCTCTCTCTGTCTTTTTGGGGTGTGTGTGTGTGGTGTGTGTGTGTGTGTGTGTGTGGTGTGTGTGTGGTGTGTGTGTGTGTGTATGTGTCTAGAGATTGAACCTTGAACCCAGGGAGGCTCTACCACTGAGCCACATCTACTCTTTTTATTTTTTATTTTGAGACAGAGCCCCACTAAGTTGCTTAGGCCTTGCTAAATTGCTGAGGCTGACCTCCAAGTAGCAACCCCCTGTCTCAGCCTCATGAGTGGAATTACAGGTGTGTCCTACCATGCTCAGCTTATTCTAGAATATTCTTGTGCAAACATTGATAATGACTCCCTAGAACTGTTTGACAGATTCAGTAGCTTTCATTAGGACTCAATGGCAAACAGTGCTGTGACTGATTAGTGATGTCTCCATGGAATTGGGGCTGGGCAATTAGAAATTTGTGCTGAGAAGTACCCTGAGCACAATATCAACATATGCTATATGGCATATTTATTTATTACTAGTAAGCAGTGAAAAAAAATGTTGACTTCTTTTAAGGTCTTAGACAACTAACTACTAGCATTTGATTCTTGGTAAAATGCAAACAAGGCATGCAAATGCACTCAATTGAAATGTTAGATTCAGGACAAAGATTGTGCTCTTTTTTCACTTTCAGGTGTGCATTCAAGACCTTATCTCCCCCATCAATGTCTCCCTGAATTTCTCTCTTTGGGAAGAAGAAGGGACACAGAGGAATCAAAGTGTGGTAAGAAGAGATTGGCTGGGGACATTAATGGGTAATATGGAAGAGAAGAAATTCTATTTAGCAAGAAGTCACTGGATTATATAGGAGTTTGTGATTCTAAGCAACATAAACCAAATATGGCTTACTCAAGCAGGAATTAAAAAATTCAAAACACAGCTCTGGGAATAAGGGGGACCTGGGTAGTGACTCTGGATGCTTTCAAGAGGAGAGGATAATGGATAGACTCTCCAGGTCCCCTTCAGTGAATCTGCTCTGGGTCCCTACCAGTTATCAGCTCCAGATTACACCAGGTTCCAACACTGTTCAACCTATAAATTCCAGGGAGAGAAGTTCAGAAGGCCTAGCTTTGGGCCCAGGCTTGTCCCTTATTGGTGAAAGAACAGGGCACCTTCTCACCTATGCATGTTCAAATTGGGACGTTGTAAAAGTAGGGGGCAACAATATCCACCTTCCATTCCCCGATCAGACACCCCCTACCCAGTGCCAAGAGCCTGATGTCCTTTTCTGAGATCCTTGGCACTCAACGGATGGTTTGGTTGGGTCTAGAGGATAGAACCTGGGCCTGGTAGCCTGAACATGTGGCTTTCTTTCCTGGTATAAGCATGAGCAGGTTCTGTCCCTCCTTGGGACTGTTTCCCCACCTATGAGGTGAGTCCAGCCTTGTGAGGCCCCTTCCAGAGCTGGAGGCCTCTCGCTGCTGACTGCAAGTTCCTGTGGCTTTTGGCAGCAGTCAGCAGAGCACCCCACCCACTTGAGATTTGAAGATACTGGTGGTGTGCTCACTAGAAATAAAGCCCTGCCTACCGGATGCTCATCACGCACCTGAGCAAAGCTGACTGAGCCCCTTTCCTGTGCTAAGACCTTTTCTGGGCACTGGTTCTACTGAAATCAATAGGCATGACTCCACCATTGAAAAGCTCACAGTCCACTGTTGGAGAAGCTGGGGGATCAGCAGTGACAACACACTGCCATGATGCCACCGTCAAGTTAGGTTCAGGGCAGCAACAATCTATACCAGAGATTTGAGGGGATAAGAAAAGTCTGCCCACAGAGGTGACCGGGAAGTCCCCAGGTAGAGAGGTGGGCATTCAGGAACTGTTTTTCTTCATATCATCACTTACTATCTTTGTGTTGGTATCATTGTCTGAGGTTATCTTCACTACTTGTCAACTCCAAGTAGAAAGCAGAGATCTTGTGGACATGACCTTGGCCGTAGTCACACCCCTAAACTAATCTGTTGGACCAGGCCTGGGTAGAATGTGTACCCAGTAGGTAGATATATGGGGACAATCAAAGCCCTTGGTGGGACCGGGTATGGAGAAGAGTTGGGAAAGCGGGGAGTAGATATAGATATTTTAGGAAGCTAATTCCAGCAGTCATAAGGAGGCTGGCTTGCAAGGACTTGAGCCTGGGATCAGGGAGACTGCTCTAATGATTGGTCCCACTGGGGGATGGTAAGCTCTGACCCAAGGCATTTTCTGTGGAAGTAGAGAGGAAGAGATGCATTCAAGAGAGTTTAAGAAGCAGCATTGTCAGAGACTGAGATGTGGGGAGAGAGGCAGAAGATGATACTCATATCTGACTTGCATCTGGGTGGATGACGGAGCCCACCCCCAAAAGGAAACGCTGATGGGAACACAGATTTGTCAGGAAAGTAAGCTGCAGAGTTCAGCTTTGAACTTCTTTGAACTTGGTGCACTTGGGGTCTGTGCATCATCCAAGAGGCAACTGGATTCATTATGGGCAGAGGCCAAGAGCCATTAAATTAGCTCAGCTGCAAACACAGAAATTTACATAGAAAGTGCCTTTTAAGGGGCTGAGACTGTAGCTCAGTGGCAGAGCACTTACCTAGCACGCTTGAGGCACTGGGTTTGAGCCTTAGCACTACATAAAAATAAACCAATAAAATAAAAGCATGCTGCCCATCTACAACTACATAAAGAAAAAAGAAAGTACCTTTTAAAAAGTCTTTTTCTTGTAAAAGACAGGTTGGAGTTGGTGTGGCAGTTCTGAGTTTCTAAATCAGGAGTTTAATGTGTCCGTCATCTTTTCATTACTGTAACAAATACTTCCCAGACTTTATCTGGGAAGAGCCAAACCATCAATGTCCTTGGCATTGAAAGCCAGGTGGTTTCTGTTGCTATTCCGTTCTGCCCTTATAGCATCAAAGCAGCCATAAACAATAGGCAAATGAATGGGTGTGTCTGTGTTCCTGAAGCACTTTATTAACTGAACAGTGAGGGCAGGATTTGGCCTTCCTGTTATAATCCAGTTACTCCTTCTCTAAGTCAGCATCCTCGGTTCCTTCTGAATTGCTTCTTCATCTTCTTTCTTCGTCACCTTCTTTGTGCCTTCATGTGCTCAAAGTTGCATGGACTCTACCCATCCCATTTGTGCCTTGCCAAGGAAGACAGAAGAAATATGTCTTTAAGAACGGTTCCTCAAAAACCACATAATACTTTCCCTTATATCTCATTGGTTGGAACTAGGCCATGTGATCCAACAAAAAGTGGAGGCTCTGTTTGAAAAGCAACAGGTGAGGAAGGATATGTGGGTACAACCAGCAGCCTCAGCCGTAGGTATTAATTAAATGCCAAACTATGTAGCGTAGATACTCAGGGAAAAAGAGACATGAGGTCAAAGTCAAAAAAAGACTTCCTGGAGGAAATGACATTGGTTCTAGGTCCTGCAAAATGAGTAGACTTTAGGTAGATGGAGAAGAGAGGAAAGGTATGGTGGTGATATCAAAGGAAATGGGAGATGGACTTCACTTCTGGCACAAAGGCGGCTGGTCAAGTTCAAGGTCTGGTCTACCATTTGGCGCATGGCTCAAGTGGGTGGTGGAAAGCTGTGTGTGAATGTTGAGGGTATATGGGGAGCAGTCAGCAGAGACCACTAGGACCCCAGATCCCCAAGGAAGAATCTAGAGATTTCATGGCAGGTGATCTGAAGTCAGAGGAGGCTGACTTTCTGGGGCCCCCATTACCTTTAGAATAAAGTCCCAACTCCACCATGGCCCACAAGGCTCAATGGAACCTGGACCCTGCTCTGCCTCCCTGCCCTTCCAATGCATGGCGCTCCAGCAAGTCTGAGTACCTTTCTGCTCCTTGAAGGAGCACAGTCTGTCTTGCCTCTGGGCCTTTGTATACACTATGCTTTCTTCCTCTCGATTCTCTCCATCTGGCTCCCTCCTTTAATGTGTCAGTCGTCTTTCCGTTACTGTAACAAATACTTGAGACAATCGACTTATAAAGAGGAAACGTTTATTTTGGCTTGTGGTTTTGGAGGTTTCAGTTCCTGATCCGTTGACCCTGTTATTTGGGGCCTGGGGTGAGGTACCACATCATGGTGGAGCACACAGCAGAGTGACCTATTCACTCTCATGATTGCCAGCATCAAAGAAAGAGAGACAAGGGGCTGGGATCCTAATATCTCCTTCAAAGGCACACTCGCAGTGACCTAACTGCCTCCAACTAGGTCCCACCTATTAGAGGTTCCACCGCTTCCCAGTTGCTCTATGGACTTTAACATATGGCCTTTGGGGGACATTTCAGGTCTAAACTAGAGCATTTAGATTTCAGTCATAATGGCATTCCTTCAGGAAGTTTCCTTGATCCCCAAGTCTGAGATAGGAGTCCTCTCTCCATGCTCTGAACATACCCTGAACTTGTCTGGTCATAACTTTGACTCATAGTTAAAAAAGCGAGGCGTTTCTCCTTCCAGAACAGGAGGACAGGCAGCATGTCTGTTTGTCCTTTGGTGTATAACCAGTGACCAGCATGGGGCCAGCTCTGGAGTAGAAACGCAGAAAATGTTGGAAAAATCAGCTTTGAACTTCTAAGAGCTGGAGAGTCACTCTAGGGGGAGAAAGAATTGGCAGAGGAGAACCCCAAGAAAGGGCCATTGGCAGGCAGGTGAATTCTGGGGCTGTGCAGCCAGGATCCCCTGTCAAGAAAGAAATGGTGAGGCTGCTTTGGCCTTGATTTCTTGTCTGTAGGAGGGAACGGGTCACCCTGAGCCTCTGGCTCCCATTAGGTAGCTGCCGCCAGACAGCTGCACACACAGGCGAGGGCTGAGGCTGGAGAGTGAGGCCAGCCCCGCCTTTACTAGTCCTGCTGCTTCAACTGAGCTCCCCTGTCCTCCTCCCTCTGTGCACAGCAGGACAAGGACTTGCAGCCCATTCTGAGACCCACCCCACACTCTGAGACCAAGGAGGTAAGAGGGGAGGAGGGGCAGATGCCAAGGCCTGGGGTCGGGCTCCTGCTGGGTCTGGAGCCAGAGCCTCCCAGTCCTTTCTTCTTGGCCTTTCAGATCCCTTTTGAGAAAAACTGCGGGGAGGACAAGAAGTGTGAGGCTAACCTGGAGCTGTCCTCTGCTGACAGGTCTGGAAGACTTCCTCCCACTCCCACCTCCAGCCTTCCCTTCAATTCCGTCTGTGTCTTTCCTTTTCTTGGTACCAAGGAGTGAACTCAGGGGTACTCAACCACTGAGCCACATCCCCAGCCCTTTTTAATATTTTATTTAGAGACAGGGTCTTGGTGAGTTGCTTAGGACCTTGCTAAATTGCTGAGGCTGGCTTTGAACTCGCCATCCTCCTGTCTTAGCCTCCGGAACTGCTGGGATGACAGTTGTGCACCGCTGCGCTCTCCTGGGCTCATTCTCGATCTTTCTGATGCAGCAGCTCCCATGTGCTGGGAAAAAACACTGGACTTAAGACACCCCTCTCCCTGCACACTGCCTCTGAGAAATGCGGGTACCTTGTGGAGAACTCAAGTGCATAGGAGCTCATTTTGTGTGGCTTTACAGATCTTTCAGTTCTAAAGTCCCCACCCCGATCCTATTTCCTTCATCTTGGTTCCTATAACTTTTCCCTGATCCCCTCACCCTCAGACCCACAGTCCTGCGTCTGACGCCGTCTGCCAGTCTGACTGTGGGGTGGACACTGAATAACTCGGGAGAAGATGCTTACTGGGTCCAGCTGAACCTGAGCTTCCCCAGGGGACTCTCCTTCCGGAAGGTGAAGGTGCTCAAGGTGAGCCTGAGGGCAGCACCTACCTGCTGCTCTGATTCCCACCGCCTCTACTCCATCCTACATCCTGAGCAGTTGGCAGCAGCTGGTAGCGGAGGAAGTGAGTGTCATATCTGTGTTCCCAGCCTGATGGTCCCCCTTGAGCTCTGTGATCTGAGGTACAAAGTTTACCCTCTCTGAACCTCAGATTTCACAACCAAAAATGAGACTGGGGACACTCAGGGGGTTAGTGAGAGGGTCATACAAAAGGAGCATGTGGAAGAGACTCAGGGGCCATGTCCCCCATGCAGTTGGTGAGTAAGATGTACAGTTGAGTGAGATGGATCCGCCTCCCTGGTAGAGGCAACCAGAGTGATTTTGAGCAATGTCCTGGAGTGTTTGACATATAATGTTTACTTTTTAAGGACTATTATAAGAGCAATATATGATCACAATGGAAATTTGAAAATTACAGAGAAGTTTAAAGAAGACCATGATATGTACTTCTACAACTCAGCAATTGCTACCCTTCCCCCGCCCCTTTGTCCGAGGGATTGAACCCAGGGATGCTTAACCATTGAGTTACATCCCCGGCTCTTTTTATTTATTTTTTATTGGTTCTTTTTAGTGAGACATTTTGATAAAATTATACATTCACAGAATATGTCTTATTCTAATTAGGACCCATCCCAGTCTTGTGGATATACATGACGTACGTCACTGTGGTATATTCATATATGTACATGGGAAAGTTATGTCAGATTCTTTCCACTGTCTTTCCTATTGCTATCCTCCCTCCTTTCCTTTTATTCCCCTTTGTCTAATCCTCTGAACTTCTGTTCTTCCCCTCCCCACATTGTGAGTTAGCTCCCACATATCAGAGAAGATATTCACCCCTTGTTTTAGGGGGATTGGTTTATTTCACTTAGCATGATAGTTTCCAGATTCATCCCTTTACTATCAAATATCATAAAGTCTTCTTTATGGCTGAGGAGTATTCCATGGTGCATATATACCACATTTTCTTTCCTTTTTGTTTTTTATTTTAAGACAGAGTCTTGTCAAGTTGTTGAGGGTCTCACTAAGTTGCCGAGGCTGGCCTTGGAACTTGTGATCCTCCTGCCTCAGCCTCCTGAGTCACTGGGCTTACGGGTGTGTGCCACTATGCCTGGCCAATTACTACTTTAATCTTTTAGTGTTTATCCTTTTTACTTTTCTATATATAGTTTCATATATGCATATGTACATAGGTGTATATTATATATTATCTGTTTATTTATACACATACACAGTGCTGTGTACTTATTCTTTTTTTTTTTCTTTTTGGTGATACTAAGGATTGAACCCAGGGCATTCTGCATGCTATGCAAGTGCTCTCCCACTGAGCTACACCCCCACATTGGGTACTTTTTCTATATTTGTTTTAACTAATTGACATTTTTGCCCTCCACATAGTTATTCCCCCTCCCATGTTTAAAAAAAAAATTTATGGTGTTAAATATACACAATATGACTCTGCCCTTTAGGTCTGGGTTATTTCACTTAGCATAATGTTTTTGTTTGGAGTTGGTTTTTGTTTTTTCGAAACAGGAGCTCACTGTGTTGCCCAGGTTCGTCTCCACCTCCTGGTCTCTAACAGTCTCCTGCCTCAGATTCCTGGGTAGATAAAAAAAAACTACAGCACACACCACCATCTGACTCTGCCCTGATTCTTTGGCTCTGCCTCTCTGGGAATGTGCTATGACAGGGCAGGGGTCCTGGAGGAGGTTGATGACCCCTGGGGAACCCTGACCCCTGGTCTCCCTTCTCATTCCCAGCCGCACAGCCAGATGCCTGTGAGTTGTGAGGAGCTTCCCGAGGAATCCAGACTCCTGACCAGGACCCTTTTGTGCAACGTGAGCTCTCCCATCTTCAAAGCAGGCAGCTCGGTGAGTGAAGTGTGTGCTTGAAACCCAGCCGCCTGGGGGCCCTGAGCTGGAGGAGGGGAGGTAGACTTTGGCTCTGAGGAAGGGGGCAGGTGATTAGCCAGGAAGCCAATCCCTACCCCAGGGGGCATGTGTAGGAGCTGTTCTCTGTCACATTAGAAAACCTGGACCTTGGATGCAGACAAACTGGGACTGGGTTATTCGTTTTGTGACCATGGACACAAGACTGAACCATCTGGATCCTTGGTTTTCTCACCTGTACAATGGGGATGAAATGCTTAGCCAAGTGTTTGGGATGTAGTGAGCACCTGTGGTGGTCACTGCAGTCGTGGTGACTATGCTGGGGGCCATGAGGTGCTCAGACTGCTCCTGAGGCCCCCTGTCCTTCCCTGCTAGGTTGGTATCCAGGTGATGTTTAATACGCTGCTGAACAGCTCCTGGGAGGACTTTGTCGAGCTGCATGCCACTGTAAACTGGTGAGCAGGTCCTCAGAGGGCCCCTGCCAGCATCGCCACCACCCAGGCCTGGCCAAGCCCATCTAACTCCCTCTGCCTTGCCCTGATGTAGTGAGAATGAGGACCCGCTCCTCCTGGAGGACAACTCGGCCACCACCAGCATCCCTGTCCTGTACCCCGTCAACGTGCTCATCAAGGAGTGAGTCCTTCTGTGTTGTGTTGACCCCACTCCACCTCAGCCTCCCCACCCAGTCTTGATGCCCATGAGCTCCCCGCCCACGCACCCTTAATTTTCTTTCCTTCTTCTTTTTTTTTTTTTTCTTTTTTGATTCTGGTGATAGAACTCAGAGGTGCCCTACCTCTGAGCTACATCCCCAGTTCTTTTTATTAATTTGAGATACCGTTTCTCTGAGTTGCTGAAGCTGGCCTCAAGCTTGAGATCCTCCTGCCTTAGCCTCCCAAGCTGCTGGAATTATAGGCATATGCCACTGTGCCTGGCTTCTCTTCCTTTTCTAGAGCTTGGGGCAGCACAGTAATTAGAACTGATCCCAGCCACAACCCCTGTGGTTTTCCACGTTCCAAAAATGGAGGGTCCTCTAAGAACTCAGGTCAGCATTAATTGATGGAATTTAAAACTCCACAGCAAGCTGCCTGGTGTCAGATGCTATGCCAGAGGCACTGCGTGGCTGTTTGCTTTCCCTGGAGCTTTTGACACCTCCATGGGGAAGCTGTACCTCTCTCTCCATTCGACTAATAAACAAACTGAGGCTCAGAGAAGAAAGGCACTTGCCCAAGGTCATATAGCCAGGAAGCACTGGAGCCAGGGTCTCAACTTTGTCTGGCTCTGTTAGCTGGTATTAGCTGTGCTAGAGTCTCTCTCTTCCTGGGCTCAGCAGTGCTGGAAGAGATTAAAGTCCCCACCATGACCCCTGCCCTCAGGGAGCTTACAGTCAAGCCAGAGAAACCAAACTCCTGCACCCCTAGAACCAGTGAATCTTAGAATGCTGGGGCAGGAAGGACTCACGGGGAACTCTAGTTGGACTTTCTAGTTTATAGAGAAGAAGATTAGAAAAGTTGAGGGGCTTTTTCAGATTGGCTCAGTGAGATAAGGACAGGTGCAGTATCTGAGTTCAGGTCTCTGATACTTTTGACCATAAATTCCAACTTGATATGAAATTATGAGCCAGTCAAGGTCAGGGTAAGTGGGGGAGAGGCGAAAGATTGATGAAGATGAGACTTGGACTGGGGTCTGGAGGATGGGGCAATTTGGATAAGGGCCAGAAAGGAGGCAAAGATCATAGCATAGGCAAAGGGATGAAGGTAGAGGGACCCATGTTGGGAATAGGGACTGGGCAGGTGCCACCAAGGGCAGGTGTGTGCAGGGGAGCAGAGGAAGGCAGTCTGGACATGGGAGCTTGGACCTGATCCTCCCAGGCAGCAGGGAGCCATGGACGGGTTCTGAGTAGTAGCATCAGGATCAGAGAGATGTCAGGAAGAGCCAGCCACATGCACTGGAAGCATGGGGTGGGGGAGGGGTGCAGAGGTTGACATGGTTATCAAGATAAACAGAGCTCAGAAGATTGGGGAGACGCTGTGAGGTGACACTCAGCACAGAGGACACAGCCCCCAAAGCATGGCCCTGCCCGCCAGGCACCTGTCTTATCTCTCCACTGTGGGGCTTTGGGCAAGAGGCTGGCCTTAGTTTCCAAAGAACTCAATGAGATGGTGCCCTTGTAATCCCTAGCCCCGTGCTGACAGTTCAAAGGCTTCCTAGAGTTCTGGATGACATCTCCTCCACCCTCAATTTCTGCTCTTCTCTCTCTACAGCCAGGAAAACTCCACACTGTATGTCAGTTTCACCCCCAAAGGTCCCAAGATTCACCAAGTCAAGCACATCTACCAGGTATGAACCTCAAAGGGGGAAGGGTCCTTATAGACCTGAACATATTCGTTCAGGCCTGCCCTGGGGATGGAGGTTGCACATGCCAATTAGACACAGTCTATCCTCAGTGGATCCAAGTCTGTCATCCTGCCTACAGAGCTTCACAGCCTCTACTTAAATGATTCCACCAGCAGTAGGCTCACTACTTCCTTTCCACCACTGGACATATCATTATGGGATCAGAACTTGAGAACAAGGACTCTGAGAGAGAACCTATATTTTTGCTCAAGCATTTAATGAACTGCTGTTCTACTTTAGGTACTTTGCTTGGTGCTGGGTCCCTGCCCATCACCAAGCCTAAGTTCTGCGACTGGTGCTTTATTCATACACCTGTGTCACTCCCACTCCAGCCTGTAAGGCCCTATTTGATAATCATTGCCATTCTCATTGAACAGATGAGACAGGTCAGTAGCTTGCCTAGGTCACACCAGCTCCTAGGGGAAGGGATTCGATTCAGGCTTTCATTTGAATACCCAAATCCATGTGCTAAACCTCCAAATTCATGATTTGACATTGCTCCTGCAATATGGTCATTGCTGGGCAATGATCCCCACCCCCAACCCTCAACCACACCCCACCACCCCCAATTAGGGTTTCCTTATAGGTGACCTCAAAGGGAGTAGGAGGCATTGACTAAGTCAAGAGCATTTTCATTTTACTTTGTAGGATAAATATAATCCAGTACAGTACAGTGCAGAGGAGTGTAGTAAACTTTGCATACAATTGCTATCTTGCAGCTTTGGTCTCCACATGTTCCAAGCCAAATTTGTCATCTTCCCCTAAGTCAGCATTTCCTCTGACTTGCTCGGAATCCTTTTAAAGCACCAGCTTTTCCTCAAGTAGAATTGCCAAGTCTGCATGAATTTCTCTTCCTCTGTGCCTGGTCCCACTGTTCTATAGTCTGTATCCCTTTTCTCTTTGCCCCCTGATACTGTTCAGACTCAGTTTCTCATCTTCTTGCATCTGGATTGTTGAAACAGGCTCTAAGATTTCAGACAGGGAGATAGAGCTCTGTGGTAGAGCACTTGCCTAGCATAATATGCTGAGCCCTGAGTTCTATTCCCAGCACCACAATAAAATAAAATAAAATAAAGTTACATACAATTTCAATGTGGCTAGTAAGGCCTAAATAGGCCAGCATTAAGAGTTATTAAAAATTTTAAAAATTTGAGGGGCTGGGGATGTGGCTCAAGCGGTAGCGTGCTCGCCTGGCATGCGTGCGGCCCGGATTCAATCCTCAGCACCACATACAAACAAAGATGTTGTGTCTGCCGAAAAAACTAAAAAATAAATATTAAAAATATTAAAAATTTGAGACAGGCCCTACATGGGGCCTGACCTGCCTTTCTGAACTTCTTCCATTCTATGCATCTTACAATCTACTCTTTCCTCAGCTACCACCATGATTCTCCATCACCTAGTTGATAGTACCGTGACTCCTCATGCTCAGGCCTTCTGGGTCCCATAGTTGGATCCCAATATGATGGCAGAATTCTCCCCATGTCTCCTTTCCACTCTCCAACCAATCACACTCACCTGGTATAGTTCTGACTCTCTGTATCTTCTCCTTCTGGATACCCTCCCATCTTTACCTATGAAAACCCTGGCAGACTCTCATAGTTAAGTTCAATTGCTGCCTCTGACATTAGGCCTTTTCGAGTTACTTTAACTGATATTTTAAGTGCCCACCAATGTTTGTTGAATGAATAACAATAGAACCCTTCATACTGGATATATATTTCCTTGCTTGACCTCCCTGAGACATATTGGTGCCACTTCTGTGTCACTTTTTTATGCATTCTGGGTCTCCAGCACCAGCACGAGTAGCTTGAGACAGGTCAGTAGCTTGCCTACGTCACACAAAAGCATTCAAGAGCTGGTCCTGGTGGCACACACCTATAATCCCTATAATCCCAGCAACTCAGGACACTGAGGCAGGAGAATCACAAGTTCAAGGCCAGCTTGGGCAATTTAGCAAGACCAGCAGCAACTTAACACTTGGTGTCAAATTTAAATTTAAGTTTAAAAATTTTTTTTAAAGGCCTAGGGATATAGCTCAATGGTAAAGTGGATTTAGATATTCAATCCCCAGGACCTAAAAAGTAAAATAAAATAAAATAATTAAATAAAAGCCAGATATTTTAGTCAGCATTTTTTGGTGCTGTGATCAAAAGACCAGACAAGATCAAAGTGGAGAAGGAAAAGTTGATTTAGGGTTCACGGTTTCAGAGGTCTCAGTCAGTAGACCGCCAACTCCACTGTCCTGGGGCCCAAGATCAGGCAGAAGATCAAGGCAGAAAAAAGGAAAGCAATCCAGGACCTGACAATCAGGAAGCAGAGAGTGCTCTGCTCACCGAGGACAAAATATATACCCTGAAGGCACACCCTCAGTGAACCACATCCTCCAGCCACACCCTGCCTGCCTATTGTTACCACAGTAATCCCTACCAGTGGATTAATGCACTGTTTAGGTTAAAGCTCTCATAACCCAATTATTTCACCTTAAACTCTCTTGCATTGTCTCATACCTGAGTTTATTTGGGACACCCTAAATCTAAACCAGGCAGCTCCTGCCTATAATCTTAGAGATTTAGGAGGTTGAGGCAGGAGGATTGAAAGTTTGAAACCAGCCTCAGCAATTTAGTGAGGCCCTAAGCAATTTAATGAAACCATGTTTCAAAAAAAAAAAAAAAGATTTGGGGATGTAGTGTTAAACCACGATGCAAAGATAAGACCACCGACTCCAATTTTAAATCAAATTAAAGCAAGCTTGTAATTCTGACTAGCTGGGACAGTCCCTCTCCCGAAATCAATGGGATAGAAGACAGCACTCCAGCTATCTAGGCACAGTTTTATAGCACAAAAAGTTGCAAAAGGGGGTTGTCTTGAGAACTTACAGATAACAGGATTTTGACAAGCATAATACAAAGGCAGGTAGCAAGTTAATGAGTAAATTTAAATCCCAACATCAGAATTTATGAGGGGCCATTAGCGTTTCAGAGAGGGTGGTTATCTGGCCAGGGAAAGCCAGAATTTATGAGGCGTCACTAAGGTTTCAGAGGGGGTTGTTATCTGTTCAGGGAAAGCCAGGCCTGGGTGAGTTCAAGGCGCGGGCAGGCATTCCAAGCCAGTTTAAAACATCAAAATATGGCCAGGCCAAATAGAAATCCTAATATTTTACAGAAAACAGAAATGATTCTTTTATAACTTTTGACAAGATGGCTCCTAATTTTAAGAATGAATTAGGCTAGGTTTATCAATAGCTCAGTGGTAAAGCCCCTGGGTTCAATTCCCAGGATCCCCCCCCCAAAAAAAAAAACACCCTACTTTTCTGGCTGGGGTTGGCTAGCTCAGTGGTAAGAACATATACTTTAGCATGTGCAGGACCTTGAGTTCAATTCCGAGCACCTAAACAAAAGCACAAAACTACCTTTTTTTCAGCCTGTTACGTACTAGACACCATGTCAAGCAATAAGGAATAGGAGATGAAATAAGACATTGCCTCCGTAGTCAGGAAGTTCAAGGTCTAGTGGAGTTTGAGACACAGAAACAGACACTTTGCCATCCTGCCAGGGATGACCAGTGCTGTGGGACACAGGAGGAGGAAACTGCCCTCTCTTTGGGGCAGCAGTAAAACCTTCAGAGATGATGATGGGGCAGGGCTTAGCAGGTGTGTGAGGGTTTGCCATGTGAAGAGCAGAGAAGCCACACTGAAAAGCTGTGAGGGCAGGCCAGGTGTGGGTCATCAGTGCCCAGTGCCCACAAATAGTGGACTCATCCAGTGAGGACTGCAGGGCACTTGGGTGGAGTGGCAGTTGGCGTGGTTGGTATTCAGTCTCTGAAGTCCCTGTCCTCTATGCCAGGTGAGGATCCAGCCTTCTGTTCATGATCACAACATGCCAACCCTAGAGGCCTTGGTTGGAGTGCCACAGCCTCACAGCGAGGGGCCCATCACACACCAGTGGCACGTGCAGATGGTGAGTGCTGCCCGGAGAAGGGGGCTGCCCAGGCCTGTGGGTGAACTCGTCCTGGGTTCAAAGCTTGGAGCTGGATTTGGGAAGCGGGTGAGAATGGAGGGATCCAAGTCCCATAGACTCAGTGATGTCTAAAATAACTAAGGGCCAGTGGGGGAAGAAAACTAGAATGCTAATGTCTTTACTCGGGTGGAAAGAGGCCCCAGACCAACTGGAGACCCCACATCTTCATTCCTAGGATCCTCCTGTCTCCTGCCATCGTGAGGAACTGAGAAAGTTGCCCAGTGCAGCTGAGGTATGAGCATGTGAGCTAAGAAACTGGGCTGGGGCCAGGCACAGTGGTGCACTCCTGTAACCCCGTTATTCAGGAAGCTGAGGCAGGAGGGTCGCAAGTTCAGAACCGGCTCTCAGCAACTCAGCGAGATCCTGTCTCTAAATAAAATATGAATCGAAAATGTAAATAAATAAATATAAATTTATAAATTTTACAAATATGAAATATATATAAAATAGGGCTGGGGATGTGGCTCAGTCGTTAAACACCCCTGGGTTCAATCCCCTGTACTGCTCCCCCACCCCCCCAAAAAAAGAAATAGCAAGGGAAAGAAAACAAATTTAAATGTTTTTAAACTTTAAAAATAAGAAAGGCTGGGGATATAGCCCAGCCCAGTGGTAGAGAACCCCTGAGTTCATCCCTGGTACCACAAAAATGGGGGTGGGGTAGGGGTGTAGCTCAGTGGTAAAGCCCCCTGGGTTCAATCTCTGGTACAAAAAAAAAAAGAAAGAAAGAAATCAGTCTGCGGTTGGGTAGTATGCAAAGGGACAATAGCCCTCTCTGATACCCCTGTATTCCTGACCCCGTCAGCCTTGTCTCCCAGGAGTCCAGTTCCACTGCCCATTTGTCTTCAGTCAGGAGATCCTCGTCCATGTTACCGGGACCGTGGAGCTGGTGGGCGAGATTGAGGTACCATCTACTCAAAACTGGTGATGGGGAGTAGTCAGGGCCTAGGAGCCTCGGTGGGTGGTAGTGCATGGGAACTCCCCCAAATAGTCTACTTCTATTTTTCTTTCTGTCTGGATGAAAAATTCCCCAAGTTTAGACAGTTGCAGATGAAAGAGAACTATGATTTGCTTGATATTTGCAGGGCTGTTTTTGTGAGTCTACGGAAGGGGATGTTCTTTATGGGAAAAACCTCCCTTCCAGCAATGAGGAGGTGCCCATGGTAGAGAACTGGGTAGAGGAGGGTCACCCCACTGGTCCCACTCCCCTCTTCTCCCCTTTGTGTTAAAGTGGGGGCAGAAGTCAGTGAGTTCTCCGTCCTTGTTCTCCTGGTCCTGATGCCTCCCCACCCTTCCAACAGGCCTCTACCACGTTCAGCCTCTGCAGCTCGCTCTCCATCTCCTTCAATAGCAGCAAGCACTTCCACCTGTATGGCAGCAATGCCTCCATGGCCCAGGTATCTACCCACTTAGAAGTCCCAGGAACAGGCAGCAGAGGGCTTTCAGGCCAGGTACACACACCCACAACCCCAGTCAAAGCCATCTGCCCTGGGGAATTTCCCACCCCACTTGGGTGCAAGCAGACCCCAAGGTCACCCCTCTGAGATAAGGTAGACTCAGGTGTCAGCTAAAGATCAATCAGATGGCAGTTTAGCAAAGGGTCCCCAACCCAGCAATGAACATAGAGAGGGTGCTCAGAGCAGTACAAAGGTTCAGGGAGTGATCAGAGAAGGCGGGGGACCAAGAAGTGTAGACAGCCCCACAGATGAATCTTAAAGCAGAAGCAGAAGCCATATTCAGATTTGAATGCTGAGCTGAGATTCTGGCACTGTGTGCTGGGGCTAATGGGAAGCCATATAAGTCTTTGGGAAGACTTATATGTAGGTTGTAGGTTGTAGGTTGACCTAGCCACTGTGGTGACTATAGTGGGTGACACATTTGAGAGAGGGGGTCTGGAGCCAGAGTCCAGTGCTCCAATAAACCCAGATGGACATGGTGAGACTGGAGACTGGGTGGTATGGGAACTTTTAGGGATGGGAAGGCTTGCACTCAGCTGCCCCTCCTCCCCCAGGTCCTTATGAAGGTCGACGTGGTTTACGAAAAGGAGATGCTCTATCTGTATGTGCTGAGTGGCATTGGAGGGCTGCTACTACTGCTACTAATTTTCGCAGCGTTATACAAGGTAAGAACTTCTGAGAGGAATGGGCATTGCCAAGACTGGGGGGTGCCCTTTGGCAGGAGCCAGGGAGGAGACCACTGTGTTCAGGGAGCATTAGAGCCAGAAAAGGTGTCAACTTATCTCCTCTTTCTGCAGATAAGGCTACTGAGGTCCAAAGAGCATGTGAGGTTTTTTCCCACTATTGCTCAGTCCAGCACTGGCAGAGCCAGGACTAGGTACCCTAGAAAGGAGGGACAAGGATGCCCATGTAGCAGGGCCTCCTGGTGCCAAGTCCCATAGTACAGAGGCATATGCCAAAATATGGTCCCTGTCTTCCCAAAGGGAAGACATAATGAGTGCCACACTGGGGACCTGTGTACTCTGGAACCTGTCATACAAGGACCTCACTCAGGCTGGGAGGGCCTGGGAAGTCCTCCTAAGAGAGGTGGCATTTGTTGGGATTTGAAAAATGACTAGAAGATAGAGATGAAGAGTGAAGGGCATATGATCCAGGTAAAGAACCTCAAATATTACAGAAAAGAGAGCACAGAAAATCAAAGTTTCTCTCTAATTTCTCTCTAATTGCATTCCTGGAGGGTTGTCATAAACTCCCATTTTGTTTTTATTCCTTCAAATTCTGATTTCATTGTTAATATATGTGTGCATGTGAGTGTGAGAGAAAAGAGAGGGCTGGGGTTGCGGCTCAGTGGTGGAGCGCTTGCCTCACATGTGTGAGACATTGGGTTGGATCCCCAGCACCACGTAAAAATAAATAAATAAGTAAAGGTATTGTGTCCATCTACAACTAAAAAATATTTTAACAAAGAGACAAGAGAAATTTTATGTGTGTATAGGTGAAGAACACAAATGGAGTAATACTATAAAGACTTCTTGGGAGCTTGTGTTTTCCACTTAACTCACTCACACACACTCTCTCTCTCTCTCTCTCTCTCTCTCTCTCTCTCTTTTTTTTGGCGGGGGCGGGAGTACTGGGGATTTAGCCCAGGGGTGCTTTACCACTGAGTCACATTCCCCCAGCCCCCAGCTCTTTTTACTTTTTATTTTGAGGCAGGATCTCACTAAGTTGCTTAGGGCCTTGCTAAGGGATGAAGCTGGCCTTGAACTTGCAATCCTCCTGCCTCAGCCTCCCAAGCCACTGGGATTACAGGCGTGCGCCACTGTGCCTGGTATCTACTTGATACTACATCTTGATGTTCGTCAGCTTTACCTCCTGCTTTTGAACTTGGCTAGTTTTCTAATATCTGGATGTCCCATTTTTTATTTAACAAGTTCCTATTTTGTTTTTTAGTTTTCTCATACTGGGGATTGAACCCAGAGAAGCTCTACCACTGAGTCTCCCAGCCCTCTTTGTTTTTTGTTTGTCTGTTTGTTTTGTTTTGTTTTTCAATATTTTGAGATGTGGTCTTGCTAAGTTGCCCAGGCTGGCCTTGAACTTATGATCCTCTTGTCTAAGCCTCCCAAGTCACCAAGATTAAACAAGTTCCCTATTGATGAGCAATGAACATTTGGATTGCTTCTCATTCCCGTCTGTTTTAACCAATGTGTCAAAGACTCTTTTTACCAATATCCTTGCACATTCTTTCAAATATTTTTTAGACTTAATTCCTAGAAGTGAAAGCACTGGGGAAAATATATGTATGTTTTGAGCTTTCAACAAGTATGTACATATAATAAGCACTATATAAGTGTTGGCTCTTCATGTTTGTTACTAAATACTGTCAAATAACTGGTCAATGGGCTGGGGAATAGCACTTGCCTAGTGTATGGGGGGCCATGGGTCAATCCCCAGCGCTGGGAGGAAAAAAAGACACTCATTTAAAAGATTGAAACATGACATTTTGATGAGCCAAAAAATGAACTACTAGTGCTGGAGATGTAGCTGTACTGTAGCTCAATGGTAAAGTGCTTGCCTAGAACTCATGAGGCCCTAGGTTTAATCCCCAGCACTGCAGAAAAAAAGAGTGAACTACTAAACTTAAAGCTTTTAAAAGTATTTCCAGCCAGGCAGGGTGGCACACACCATAGTCCCAGCAACCTAAGAGGATGAGGAAGGAGGATCACAAGTTCAAGACCAGCCTGGGCTATTAACAAGACCCTGTCTCAAAATAAAAAAATAAAAATTGGGCTAGGGGTGGCTAGGGTTATGGCTCAGTGGTAGAACACTTGCCTCAAATGCATGAGGTACTGGGTTCGATTCTCAGCACCACATTTAAAATAAATGAATAAAATAAAGATCCATCAACAACTAAAACAAAAAAAAATTGGGCTGGGGATGTGACTCAGTGGTAAAGCACCCTGGGTTCAATCCCCAGTATCAAAACAAACAAACAGTATGAAGGGCTGGGCATGTAGATCAATGGTAAAGCACTTGCTTAGCATGTGTGAGCCCCTCGGTTACATTCCCCAACACACAAAAAAGTTTTTTCAAGATTTATATGTACATATATTTTCCCCCACCAAAGAACCAAGCTTTCAGATGACAGAGTGTCTTCACATGTTGTTGGAACTGACTGGTCCAAAATGCTGCCTGGACTTTTGCTCACTAAATATCTGTCTTCCTTCAGGTTGGATTCTTCAAACGGAACCTGAAGGAGAAGATGGAAGCTGATGGAAATGTTCCAAATGGAATCGCTGGAGAAGACTCTGGAGAAGCATCTCAGGAAAAGTCCATGGATCTGGATTGTTTAGAGCCCCTCCAGGGAGAGGAGGCCCAGGATGGAGGTGACAAGGACTGAGGTCCAGGCTTGATGCACAGAGGACCCAGAACTGGACTTAAGATGCCTGGGGCTAGTCAGCCTCTGCCTGCATTGCAGGCCTCAGTTTCCTGGTTTTGAGCATGGATCTCATTCCCGCCTGTCTCTTCTGCAGATTCACGGTGAGAATCTACAGAGGTGAGGCCTTGTGGTCCTCAGATGGTCCTGGCTCCCACCAGCCTGTCTTAGTTTTCTCCCCTGGAAGAGAATATCTAATTTAAATTGAAATTTAAATTTGAACCGCAGTCTCAGAACCTAGTGATACTCTGGCCTTCTCCTTTGCCCTTGAATGTCCAGAGGCCTCGGATTCCCAGAACTTGCCCCTATACTCTCTCCTTCTAGTGTTAGTCCCCCCCCCCATTCTGTTGCCAGAGAACAAATGTGATCCGTGTAACTGCATTGCTATAGCAAATGTCAAAGACCACCTTCCTTAAGAAGACTTTCAAGATCTTGCAGAATTGGGTCCCTACAGTTCTGGAGATGTCCTACCTCCCTTTCTAGGGCTTTCTAGGCTTCTGTTATTCCAGCCTTTCTTGGCTGCCAAACTCCTTCCTCTCTTGCTGCATCTGCCCAGACAGCCCCCTGTGCCTGGAACATTCCTACCCTTCAGATCTCTGCCTACTTGTCATTTCCTCAAGGCAGCCCCCATCCTGGCTCAATCCAGCTCTACATTGTCCACACTTACACCGGTCTGAACCTGTTCCTTGTCCCCCAGGTTGTATGTGTTCACTGCTTAATGATTTATTTAATTTCAATCTCTCAAATAGTGAACTCCATGAATGTAAGGAGTGCGTAACTGTCCCCATTCACCTTAGAATCACTGATGCTATCTCAGGGTAGGGCACACAGCAGGTGTTTGTCACAATTTCATTAAATTCATGATGGAACCTATGGAAAGATACAGAAAATGTTTGGACAGGCCCTTGGGAACCCTGTCAAGGCTCAGCCTTCACAGGTTCTGCCCCTCTCCTGGTTCCACAGTGCCTGCTCAGAGGAAAGCCAAGCTCAAAATGGAATGGGTTCCACTGGTGTCTTGCCACCAAGCACAGTGCCTGTACATATTTGCCCAGTAAATGTGAGATTAGGTCCAGTTTTGTCATGTTTTTGTGCTGGTGCAACATTCCGGACTGGTTCAATTAGATAAACATTCCCCTTTCAACCTAAGAGGTTGCAGTTCTCCCTAAGAGGAACCAAAATGGTCAGCTCTGCCTCTTCCTTCTCTGTGACTCTCTCCTTCTCTCTCTCTCTCTCTCTCTCCCCTTCCCTCCTTCTTATCCTCCCTCTTTTTTTCTTTTACCATGGTGACCCTTAGATACTGATCTGTGCCTGACCTTGTAGGTTTTATTAAAAAGAGAAGGAGAGGGGCTGGGATTGTGGTTCAGCGGTAGAGTGCTCCCCTAGCACGAGCAGGACCTGGGTTCGATCCTCAGCACCACATAAAAATAAAGGAATTGTGTTGTGTCCATCTACACCTAAAAAATAAATATTTTTTTAAAAAAGGAGAGAGACTGGTGGTGTAGCTCAGTGGTAGAACACTTGTCTAAAATGCATGAGGCCCTGGATTCAATCCCCAGCACCACAAAGGACAAAGGTGGGGCGGGGGGAAAGACTGAATCAGAGAAAAGGTAGACAAGGTTAGGGGCATTTGATAATTTATTAAGATGGGAGTATAATCCAGTAATAATGGTGCATGCCTGTAATCCCAACTACTTGGGAGGCTAAGACAGGAGGGTCACAAGTTCAAGGCCAGACTGAGCAACAAAGTGAGACCCTGTTTCAAAATAAACATTAGAAAAGGACTCAGTGGTATGTTTGTGCATGCTTGAGACCTGGGTTCAGTGATCCCCCACACCTTCCTCATCTTTTATTTAGAGCAAGGATGGAAGAGGTATGGCCCTCAAGTACCTCCTTTAGAGGAGAAAGAGGGGGCCAGTCATTGCTGTCTTCCTGTGCTCAATAGGACCCCAAGGAAATATTGAGTGACTAGGATCAGCTCCTGGTCTAGCACTGGGAAGAGAGAACATGGTGCAATATTTTGGTTCCCCAGGCAGTGACTGCCCCCTTCTGCCTAGAGAAGATGACATAAACATTCCCAAGCCTGGCATGCAAGACCCAAGATGGTCATTCAAAGCCTCCTAGCCTCTCCAACCTCACCACCCATTCTCCTGGTCAAGCCCCCAAAGAACCTGGGGCTGGCCCATAAACAAGATAGCAGAAAGGAAGAACTGAGACCCATTTTCCCAGAGTGGAGAAAATGTTTAACTGCCCAGAATATCGCAGAACTAAGAACAGCACATGAAATGATCTGTAGGGCTCATGAAAGGTAAGTCAGGTTCTTTTCATTCAGTGGGTCTTGAGGGCTTTGTGTCCAGCTCTGTCCTGGGATCTGAAGATTTAGTGATGAAAATGGCAAATCTCTGCTCTCAAGAAGTTTGTTCCAGTGGGAAAATAGTACGGTGACTTCAGGTAGTGATTAGGGCTAGGAAGAAAAGAAAGCAGGATAACAGGTTAGGGAGTGATGCAGAAGGCCATGGGTGGTCAGGGAAGTATCTCTGAGGAGGTGAGATTTTGAGACATACTTGCACACACCCACCCACACACACACACACAAAAAAAAAAGATTGTTTTCATCGAGTCTGGAACCAAAAAAGCAAGTCTCATTTCAGGATGAGAACTGCCATCATTTGCATCTAGGAATCTCTTCTAACTGGTCCTCCCTACTTGCCTTTCTCTGCCTTTATGACTTTACACAAAATGCTCATTCCACCTCTCCTTTTCCTTTCTTCTTTTTTTTTTTTTTTTTTTTGTTTTTAGATGGGGGTCTCCCTATATTTCCCAGGATGGCCTTGAACTTCTGGACTCAAGTGATCCTCTCACTTTAGCCTTCCAAATAGCTGGGACTATGGGCACACACCACCACACCTGGATTCTACCTCTTTTCTGTCCGATACGATTTTCCTTACTTCAAAGCACTTGAGCTTTCTTCATTCACTCGATTCCATCAGCACTGAGCTTCCTCCTCACTGGGGCCCATCACGCTGCCTCTGAGCAGGCTTCTCTCCAAACTGTTAGGTCCTGCAAGGAGGATAAAGCCTCATTTGTGTCTTAGCAACACCTGCTCCTCCCCAGGGCTGGCACAAGGGGCTGTTCCATAAGTGTCTAATTCTGCGGTACTTAATATGAGGATTCTTTTATGCTTTTAAAACTATTGAGGATTCTCCAAAGAACCATTTTTATATGGGTTATATCTATTGTTATTTATTAAATTAGAAGTTAAAAATGGAAAAAAAAGTTAAAACATAAGAACATCCAAGCCCATATTCCACATGAACCATCAGAATAATGATATATGTCATTGCAAATCATAACTAGAAAATGCTGTATTTTCAAGAGAGAGTGAACAAAGAACATCTTAATATTGTTAAGGAAAATAGTCAAACTTCAGTCAGATCTGGTTTGAATTCAGGCTCTGCTGCCTCCTAGATGTGTCCTTGGGACTTGTTTTTTTCATCTGTAAAATGGCAATAAAAACTATATGTATACTTCAGAGCTCCTGTGAGCATTAAATGAGATGACACTTGCAAACTGCTTAGCACTATTCCTAGCCCATATATGCTTACTAATGGTAGTGGATGGCAATGGTTTTCCTTGTGCAGGCTGTAGCAGAAAGCCAAATAGAGAGACCTAATCTGGAGTTCGAGTTCTCCCATTAGCTTGCTGTGTGATCTTGGGAAAGAAACCTGCCCTTTCTGGTTTTTTTTTTTTTCCCCCTACTCTGGAAGTTTCTCAGGAGCTGTCATAGAAGAGAAGGGTGGAGTGTGATCACCTAAATCCTCACCCTTATTTGATCTGCTTTTATATACAATGGACCTTTTATCCACAAACTTTATCACATCTGCCAATTCAACTAATTGTGGATTGAAAATATTTAGGACACTGGGGATGTAGCTCACTGGTACAGCATGTGTCTCACATGCATGATGCCCTGGGTCTAATCTCCAGCACTACAAAATATATATTCAGAAAAAATTGCATTTGTACTGAATATGTCAGATTTTTTTCTTGTCATTATTCCTTAAAACAATGCAGTTTAATGATTAATTACATGTATAGGGATTATAAGTAATCTAGAAATGATTTAAAGTGGCTGGGCAAGGTGGCACATGCCTTTAATCCCAGTGGCTCAGGATGCTGAGGCAGGAGGATCATGAGTTCAAAGCCAGTCTCAGCAACTTAGCAAGGCCCTTAAGCAACTCAGCAAGACCCTGCCTCAAAATAAAATACAAAAAAGGACTGAGTATGTCACTCAGTGGTTAAGCACCCCTGGGTTCAATCCCCAGTATCAAAAAAAAGTGTATGGGAAAATTATATAAAGAACCTGAGCATCCTCAGATTTTGGTATCTTCAGGGGGTCCTGGAGCCAATTACCCATGGATACTGATGAATATTGAGGGTCTGTTCAAACAAGCCACTTGTAATTAAATGTCACAGGTCTTGTGCCCTGGGTCTTCCAGTTTTCAAGGGTCTATAGACATGTTTGGGAGCTGAATACAAAAATCAACTTCAAAATACAAAAATAAAATTATAGAATTGAAATGAAGGGTTAAGTAAATGCACAAATATGTCAGGTAGTCAGGTGCAGTACTATTAAACATTTATAGCTATGTTGTTATTTTACATGTGGTAGTTGGAGTATTTTAATATTTGAAATTATGTGTGGTAGAATGTCAATACAAAAAGCCTGCATCAGCTGGGCCCTGTGGCATGCACCTGAGGCAGGAGAATCACTGGAATCCAGGAGTTTGAGGGCTGCCTGGGCAACATTTAACCCCATTTAAAAAAATATATTCATCAGGTTCATAAAGGTTGGGCTGAGGAGGTAGCTCAGTGATACAGTGCTTCTCTACCATGCATGAGACTCTTAAGTTTGATCCCCAGTTCCCCCCCACACACACACACAAATTCATAAAGATCTTGAAATTATTATTAAGATTTCATTTGACAATGATGTTTTACTTTGTGTGTGTGTGTGTGTGCGCGCACACACACACACGTTGAGGCTTGAACCCAGGGTGTTGTGCATGAATGCTAAGTAAAAGCTCTGCCTGGGAGCTAAAATCCCCAGTTCCTACTTCCAAAAATATTTTAGTTTGAAAACCAAACAAACTGAACTGCATAACTCTAGAGCTTGCAGATAATGAGAGGCTGGTCTGAAATGTGCTCCAAGAAGTTATTTGCTCTTTGCAAGTTATAAGGCCCTGAGGATGGGTATGGGGTTGGATCCAGAGACCCAAGAGATTTAAATATGCCTGTGTAACCAAGCTGCTGGAGAGAGTCAGAGCCACATAGATATAATCTGAATGTCACATCTGCCTCTTGGCCACAGAGTAACTTTAAGTCACTTAGCTCTGTGAGTTCTTTTCTTATCTGTGAATAAAATAAGTAAACCTTCAGAGAGAACTATCAGGCCCTTAGTAGTCTTTATCTCAAAATGTGTCCAGCAGCAAGTGATTCCCCGAGTTGTGGCATCTGTCCTCTCTAGCAAAGGTCACAAGAGGCCACACTTCAGATGGCACTTTCCATCCATTCCTGAGGGGCCAAGAGTTAAGAAGGCTAGGACTGGATGGAAAAGTAACACAAAAGTGGGGCAGGGACGGGGGGTCCCACACCAACTGGCACGGGGGCATTAAAAAGGAAGCAGAATTGTGGCAAATTCAGCCCAGTGTGGTGGGAGGGTCATGAGAGTAAGAAAAATGATCCAGTCTTCACACCTGATCAAATATACACTGTGCTTTGGGTGAAGCTGTGATAGCAGCTGCCCATTCTGGTCTCAGAGCCTGGACAAAGGATCTGCACAAGATAGTGGCTGGAGATTGCAGCTTAAGGGAAGAGCAACTGGGTGCTAGGAACCAGGGAGAGATGACAATCAGGGTGTTTTCTGGCCCAAGGGGAAACCCTGTGTTTAGGAAGAGCAATCTCCATAAAGTTGAAGGCTTCCTCACACCTCCCACAGTGGGCCACTCTACTTGTGCAGCATACAAAGCATGGAACAAGAAATTAGGTGGAAATCATGCCTCCTGAATTTTAGATAAGATTCCAAGGAAACACTGAACATAAAAGCACTTCCCAGACAAGGCCCTAGGGCTTCACTGGCTGTTCATAGTAATGACTAGTGGCTCATGAAGCCCAGGGCACTGTCCACACACTCATTTTAAGGACAAGTCTCTTTTATCACATAAGGTTTTTATTGAACTCAAATTCAGGGGCTCCAAAGCCTGAGGAAGACAAGGCAGGCTGGGGTTTGCACTCAAGAGGCCCAGGCCCTACCCCAAGGCCCCAATCCCCACCCTACCTACCCTTTTTAACCCCTTCCAAACTCAACGAGGGTCTCAGCAGCTACCAATCTAAACTACCCCACTCTAATTAGCCCTCCCTCTCCCTCCCCCCCTCCCCATCTAGCACTTTGCCAAGCCAGGCACCCACTAAGGAGCATGCTGCTGAGGCCAGTTCTCTGCTGACCTCTTTCTGGATCTCTCCCAGTGCCTCCTGCTGCCTGTTTGGCCTCCCTCCAATCCCTCTTCATAGCCCATTTCCCATAAGTCTCCAGGGCATGTAACTTCCTGCACCCTGGCCCTCTTGTAGGATGCTCAATTCTTCCATTCTCCTTCAACCCTTCCACTAACCTCTCTAAAGGTTTCTCTAGCTCCCGGTCCCCTTCTCCTCTGCCCACCGCCTCCCCACCCCTGATGGGTCCCGGGTTAACGCCGGCCAGCCGCGTGGGTCCGCTGGTGGCGAATGAGGTCGGAGCTCTGAGAGAAGGCCTTTCCACAGTCATCGCACTTGTAGGGCCGCTCCCCGCTGTGGACCCGGTGATGCTGCAGCAGTGTGGAAGAGCGGCAGAAGCCCTTGCCGCACACGGCGCACCTGTAAGGCCGCTCGCCCGTGTGTGAGCGCTGGTGTTGAATCAGCGTGGAGGAGCGATTGAAGGTCTTGCCACAGTCGGGGCAGCTGTAGGTGCGGCCTGGCAGGTGGGTGCGGGCGTGAATGGCCAACACAGAGCTTTGGCCAAAGCGCTTGCCGCACTCCGGGCACTTGAAGGGCTTCTCGCGGGCGTGACTGCGGGCATGGGGGATAAGTGCCGACCGCTGGGAGAAGCTTTTGCCGCAGATGCCACAGCTGAAGGGCCTTTGCCCGGTGTGCACCCTCTGGTGGGTACGCAGGGACGAGTTCTGGCTATAGCACTTTCCGCACTCAGGGCAGCTGTAGGGCCGCTCGTGGCTGTGGGTGCGCTGGTGCCGCAGGAGGTAGGAGCTGTCGCCGAAGGCCTTTCCACAGTGGGGGCACTTGTAGGGCTTCTGGCCAGAGTGGGTGCGCTGGTGGCGAAGCAGGTAAGAGCTGTCAGCGAAGGCCTTGCCGCAACGGGGACACTTGTAGGGTCGCTCGCCCGTGTGGGTGCGCTGGTGTTTGATGAGGTCAGAGCTCTGGGAAAAGGCCTTACTACAGACCTCACATTTATAGGGCTTCTCACCGGTATGGATGCGCTGGTGCTGGATGAGGGTGGAGCCCCGCCCAAAGCTCTTCCCGCAGATTCCACAGATGTTGGGCCGAGGGCCCTGCCCACCCCTGGCCCTGCCGCCCCGCCGGCCCCGAAGGGTCCCTGTCAGACCCAAGGGATTCTGGAGCATCTCAAACTGGGGTGTTGCCAGCAGGGCCCCCGTAGGCATTTCAAAAGGTGGCCCCAGGGCCAGGGCTCCTGTAGGCTGTTCCCCAAACCCCTGAGTGAAGGAGTCCAGGGGGTGAACTCCTAAGGGGATACTCAAGGAATTCTTTTCCTCTGGGTTCAGAAGCATCTCTGCACCTTCCTGGAATTTAGAACTTTCAGCCTCAAATTCGGGGCTTTGGGTTTTGAACCCAGGATTCTGGGGTTCAATTCCAGGGTTTGGGGGTTCATATTCCAGGCTCTGGGATTCATACCTGGAGCTCTGAGATTCAAATTCAGGGCTCTGGGATTCATAACCAGGGCTCTTGGGTTCATAGCCAGGACTCTTGGGTTCATAGCCAGGACTCCGGGGTTCATAACCAGGGCTCTTAGGGTCATAGCCAGGGCTTTGGGGTTCATACCTAGGGCTCTGGGGTTCAAACTCAGGGCTCTGAGGATCTGATTCAGGACTTCTGGGTGCAAACTCGGGGCTTGGGGGCACAAACCCAGGGCTTCGGGACTCGAACCCCGGGCTTTCAGGCTCAAACCTGGGGCTTTGGGATTCAAACTCTGGGCTTTGTGGCTCAAACCCGGGGCTTTGGGGTTCAAGCCCAAAAGGTATCTCTTCAACTTCATAGTCCCCACTGCCTTCGTGCTGAGAAATTTCCTCTTCCTCATTCTCACTCGAGTTGCCTGCAGGGTCAAGAGAATTACAGAAAATCCAAATTGTGTGGGGACCTGGAAGGTCATTTGGTCCATTAGTTGCCACAAACCTCTCCCCGCGCCCCAAGCAGGGTCGCTGACCCTTTGGCAGGTGCTGAAATTCCCAACCCTTCAGAGAAGACCCAGAACATCCAGTCCCCAGCACCCCCCTACCAAGTCCCAGGTGTCCAAGCCCCCGACCCTCTTTCCCTCCCACGGGCCAAAGCCCCTTCTCCCGCTCCCGGTACAATCCTCGGAGGAGAGGTCCCTCCCTCACCTTTGAGGGACCCTTCGGGGCTCCCCATTTCGTCAGGACTTTGCACATCCCGGGGCTCGAGACCCCACGGCGACGCCTCCCGCTCCATCCCCGCCAGCTCCCAGTGCAGCAGCGGTGGCGATGGTGAACGATCCTGAGACCCTGCCTGAGTGCCCTGGGACCTGGGTCCTCGCCACTCGCCCGCTCAGCGCCGCCCAGGGCACCCAGCTGCCCAGCCCTGGCCCCCGAGGCCGGACGTCTTGACCCTGGGCCTCTCCGGCCCGCCGAGCCCCTCCCCTACCCGCGGCCCCGCCCCCCTCCCAAGGTCTCGACTTGTCCCGTGGCCCTCACCAGCCCCCGCGCGTCGGGGCCTCGGAGATGAGGGGCTTCACGACTAGCCCTGCCGCCCCTGGCCACCGCTCCCTGCCCGAGACCCCGCGGTCTGGCCCCCCGGCCCGGGGCTGGGCTGCGGCTCTCCGACCCCCTCCCCCCGCACAGGAAGTGTCCGTCCGCGGCCAGTTCCCCCCGCTGGCTAGCGCCGCGGCCTCTCTAGGAGCGGCTGGAGGTGGAAACTCGTTGGCATTAACCCTGGGCTGGATGGCCCCGGCGTTAGGGCGAGGGGAAACGCAGCGTGCTGGAGCCAGCGGAAGGGGCTAGGGCAGTTGTGTGCCTATATCCTGGGTCTTCGTCTGTCCACGGGCCTGTCTGTCGATCTCCCGAGCCCTGTGTCCCTCAGTGCGTGTGGCCAAGGGCGAGGCGACAAGCGAGACCAAGGTCAGCGAGAAGGAGCGACGCTTCCCGGCGCCAGCGGGGGCGGTGTCTAACTCCCCTCCCCTCCCAGGCCTTCGGGTCAGCTCCGGCCGCACCTCGGAATCCTAGACGGACTCCCCTTTGACCTCATCGCGGCTCTTGAGCCTGGGACTCCCTCGTCGAACTCCGGGTCCCCACACCAGCGCGCCCACCCTCACTCCTCTTCGGCCCCCTCCCCATTCTTCCTAATCCACCCCTCTCCCCTACTGGGAAGGCTAGGATCGTTGCCAAGGAGACAGCCCCGCCTCCGGCTTCCAGAAGCACCTCCCCTAACTTCCCAGAGAGCTCAACGATTGGTCAATGTGGCTAGTGCATTCGCCGCCCCTCCTCCTCCGACTTCGGTGGCTGCCTGGCGTTAATGGTCGCCAGGGAACCAGAGGCATCTTTATGATTGGCTGAAGGCACTCAGGCCGGTTGCACCTCTGTCCGCCAGAATTGCCCGGGGGAGTGAGTGGGAGGGAGATGCCCGGCGCCTCGGCCCGTGCTTTCAAAACTTTTCCACCCCCATTTGCCCTCAATTATGTTTTATCTTTTTGAGGAATGAAAGCCAAGGGATGTGAGGATAGATATACTTCCTTACCCTCTCTCCCTGCAGTCCTTTCTCAGCAGTTTCCTTCTTCCCACAGGTTCTAAGTGCTGAAGGAACCAGTCCAGAGATCCTCCTGAAGAGAGGAAGCCTCTTTCTTTTTCATTACCCTGTCTCTTCCCTTTACTCTCCTCAAAGCCTGAATTTAACTCAATCCCTGGGAAACTTAGTCCCTGGTTCCTGAATTTTCTCACAGGGAAGCAGGATTTCTTGCAGGGGAGGATGACAATGAAGAGTTCAGGAAGAGAATTGACAGAACCACAGGACCTTTTAAGTGATCTAAGAACTTTCTAGTCCTATCTGGTTTGACTGGATGTTTGTGGAGGAAGAGAACCTGAGAATACTGCCCCAGGTGTATCTTTGAATGCAGAAGAAAGTGACCCTGAAAAGACAACTTAATATCATCCAATCTTGTCCTTTTTCTGCCCTTCTTGCTGAAACAAGTTAGGTAACATTCTTGACAATTAAGGAGCCAAATTATCCTGTGTGAATGTTACAGTGGCCATGGATTGTGTGTTTTCTTGCCTAACCGAACAAATAAAGGTAAGAAACTTGTTGGGAAGAAAGATGGCATCTTCCAATATTCCTGAAAAGAGATGAGAACAATTATTTAGATAATACCAAGTGGTAATGATAAATTCCTTCTTAAGATTGGGAGCCATCTTGCACAAAGGCATGAAAAGCTAATTTCGGCTTTACTATAAATTACTGCGATTTCTAAACTTGCTTGGAATGCCTGCCCATTCCTTGAACTCACCGGAACCTGGCTTTCCCTGACCAGATAACAACTCTCTCTGAAGCTCTAATGGCCCCCATAAATTCTGATGTTGGGGCCAGCTAAAATATTAACTAGCCTTTGTGTTATGCTTGTCAAAATTTTGTTATTTGTAAGTTCTCAAACCCCCCTTTGTGTAACTTTCTGTGTTATAAAGCTGTGCTCCTTAGAAAGCTGCGGGGCTATCTTCTGTTCCCACGGTTTTTGGGAGAGACAGCCCGGCCAGTCAAAAATTATAAGCTTGATTTAAATTAGAGTCGGTGGTCCTTTCTTTGCATCATGGTCTAACAATAAAAGACTGGAGAGAGGGCTGGGGTTGTAGCTCAGTGGCAGTGCGCTTGCCTTGCATGTGTGAGGCCCTGGGTTCGATCCTCAGCACCACATAAAAATAAAGATATTGTGTCCTTCTATAACTTAAAATTAAAAAAAAAAAAAGACTAGAGAGAGAGACTTACAAATAGAATTACAGATCTTTCCACAGTGAAGTTGAGGCACCTTTCTGCCCTCCAGGGAAACAGCTACCAGTTCTATGCTTCTGTCCTATCACAATATCTGTTTGTTCTAAAATCTTTGCTAAGAGTGATATGTGTGGTGCATCACTAGAGAGCCCACATAGCCAGAACACCCTACAAAGTGCACTGATTGTGGGAAGAGCTATACATGAGGCCACCTCTTGTCCCCAAAGCACGAACACAGGTAAGAAACAAAAGTTTCCTTTACAACTTTTCTCTGACTTCTAACTTGTTTATTCACCAGAAGATTCACAGAAGAGCAACCAAATTCTACAAAATGTGTGGCAGGTCCTCCAGCCACAGCTCTGACACAGTCCATTGCCTGCATTCTTCTTATCATGAGTCACAAACCCAAAGTGTGGCAGAAGTCAGGCCAGGACTTCCAGCTGCTCTGGCACCAGCATTTCCACAGGGAAATTCAGCCACCTTTGTCCCTAGAGGAAAAGAGTGGCTGACTTCCAGTTCACCTCCCCCAAAACTGGGTCCTGTCTATGCAAAGGGCCTTCAACGGATATCCAGCCTCCACTTGCCACACACCCACAGAGTGAGAAGCTCTAGCAGATGGTGCAGTCCCCTCTGATAAGTAAGGGTTTCAACTTCATTGCAAGTCATAGAAAACTTAGGAGTCCACTGGACTTGTTCTACTACTGTGTCCATAGTGAGGAACCCTGTGCACGTCCTGAGCTGAGTGGCCACCTTGTCCACTCAGTGTAAAGGAGCCTGGGGCAGAACCATTCAGTTTAGGGACAAAGTATTGGACAACATTTCAGGGCCCATGCTAGAAAGAGCTTCTCAATGTGTGAAGGACTTCTGCATGAGCTGTCTCTTCCTGCAAGCAAAAGACAAGTCCTCTAAAAGGCCTCTGTCAGGCATGAGAAGAGATGCCCCAATATAGTCAACATGATTTGAGGTGCCCAGGAGAGACCAGCTAAGGACCGGAAAAATGAAATGTGGTCTTTGTACCAGGGCAGGTCATCCCCTGGCCTGACACATTTGGGACAGACCCTAGAACCAGCCACTATTCTTGCAAAACTAAGAACAGTGAAGGGCTTGGGATACAGTTGATGGTAGGGTGCTCACTTAGCATACACGAAATTCCTTTTAAGTGATCTAAGAACTCTCCAGTCCTGTCTGGCTGAGAGGAAGAGAATCCAAGAATACTGCCCCAGGTATAGTTTTGAATGCTGAAGAAAGTGACCCTGGAAAGACAACTTCAATCTCCAGCACTACCTCAAAAAAAAAAAAAAAAAAGAGTAATTGGAAAATGACCTTTTGTTCAGAGGAGTAGTTCTTTGAACTTTAGCAGGCATAAAATTCCATCCCTGGAGATTCCGATTCAATAGGCTAGAGGTAGAGCCCAGAGCCAGGGAGCTTGCTACATTTTTAAAAAGGCATCCCATGTGATAATTGTGACAGAGATCCCTTATTTTGGAAATATAATCGGCCCTCTGTATCTGTGGGTTCTGCATCCACTAATTCGACCAAATATAGATTTAAAATATTTGGGAAAAAAATACATCTGTTTTTGTTTTGAATATGTATAGACTTTTTTTGGTCTTGTCAGTATTCTCCACACAATAAAGTATAACTGTTTATGTAGCACTTGTTGTATTAGGTATTTAAGTAATCTAGAGATGATTTAAAGTATATAGGCAGATGTGTGTAGGTTATATGCAAATACTACACCATTTTATACAGGGGACTGGAGCATTTGTGGATTTCAATATCTATGGGGATCCTGGAACCAATTCCCCAACCCTGAAAACAACTGTACTGGCCTAGAGCAAGGTTTAGCTTCTTTGGATCATAAATTTCTTTATGTGTCCTATTCCTAGAAAGACAAATGTTCTGAGGAATTTTAGGGGGTCTTTGGAATTCAAGCTCTTACCTTCCCTTATTTTAAGTGGTCTGGTCAAGCTAAGGGTGAGTGATGTGGCTGTAGCTTTTACTTCTCACCCTGGTTGGCTTTTCACAGAGGGCTTATCTTGTCTAGTGCTGACAAGTGTTTCTTCCAATGCACCTGTGAAACCTTGGGGAAACCCCTCAACTCAAGATGTTGAGGCAGAGCGCATTTGAGGCCAGCCTTAGTAATTTAGCAAATCCCTAAGCAATTTGGCAAGATTGTATCTCAAAAAAAAAAAAAATAGGGCTGGGGATGTGGCCCTGTGGTAAAGCACTGTTGGGTTCAATTCCTAGTAAAAACAAAACTAAACAACACCTCTTCCTTGTTTAAATTGTTTCTGAAGCTGAGCCTCAAAGACCCACAAAAGCAGAAAAGGGAGCCCTACTTTTGGTGGAAGTATTGTGCCAAGAAATGAGCAGCTGAGAATAAAATGGGGCTGAGGCCCAAGGGTTTCATGACCCTAAAGACTTGATTAAATAGTGGAAAATCGTGTCATGAGGGCAGGAAGCAGAGGAGTTGAGTCTGGTTTCTTTCTCAGTTGAGCCCTGAGCAAGCTTTGCAAACTTCAAAGCACTCAAACGTGTTTAAGTTGCAATTATGGCACCTTTAATTGGCAAGCTGAGGGCAGGGGCCAGATCTGGCTTGAATCTGAGCTGAGAACTGGTGTTGCAAACTGGGATTTCCCCAGACAGCACTGAGCCCCAGGAAG